CGCGTTTACAGCTAGTTAGTAATAGGAGCTCCTCTTTACTCAAATCTGTTGAAATGAACGAAAATCATTTTGCGTATAACTTTTTTCGTGTCTAAGAGCGCGTGGCGGTAGTTATAAATTATTTCCCCTAAATTGTTAACTCCTAAATCCGTAACATTAACCGAACCAGGCCCGTATTTTCTTATTTAAATTAACCTAAGTACACTCGGCGGCGGAATAAATTATGTTGACGGACAGACTACTATCCAGCTGACTGTACCGCCTTAAGCTTTTAATGTCCACTCGGAAGTTGAAATGAATGAGTTTTTCATGTAAATCAAGGCGAGAGAGTTATAAAACTGTTTGGTTTTTTTTTCTTACAAAAGACTCCGACGAAGTGAATTTTTCCTTTTAATTTCGGTTTCATGTCGTCACTTGGTTTTAAGCAGTTTCTAATAAAGATAAGTTATTTAATTATATTTGGTAACTAGCTGTACACGCGACTTCGTCTGCGTGGAATTTAACTTTATTTTTCTAAAATAAAAGTAGCCTAAGTTACTCCTTATTACATCAGCTAATTGCCAAAAAAGTCCAGTCAAAATCGGTCCAGCCATTTCAGATATTAGCCGGAACAAACAGACAGACAAATAAAAATTGTAAATAGTGACATTTTGGTGTATGTACCGTATTTATATACATATGCATATAGTAAAAAACGGTTATTTCAATATTACAAACAGACACTCCAATTTTATTTTTATGTATAGATTATTAAAGGAAAAATAGATGGAAAGAGAGGAAGGGGAAGACAAAGACACAGCTATATCAAGTAAGTTAAAGAAAAAGTTGGAGTGTCGTATCAACAGCTAAAAAGAGTGATAGAAGATCGTGGAAGATAGTGGGAGCTCCTCCGACAAGAGCATGGCTCTTAAATTAACCAACAGATATATAACTGTGTGAACTATCCACATATATTACACTCGTGAGCAATAGAAATAGAATAGAATAGAAAATCATTTATTCAAAAAAAAATTAATATAAGCACTTTTGAATAGTCATAACAATTTCTTTTTATCTACCGCTCATTCGGAAAGCTGTCTCATCACAACTACTTTTATTATAGTAAAATAAAGTTAAATTCCACGCGGACGAAGTCGCGGGAACAGCTAGTACGCAAATAAATTTCATTAAATTTCATTTCTTTTCGTTTCGTTTCGTTTCATTTCATTTCATTTTCGAATCAGCTTCGAAGCCTCTATTTTACGTGAAGTCATGCTAGCCACGTCTCTCATACAAAATCAATATATAATGAAGTCTTCATTCTAAAGTCTTCTTCAAACATCAGATGGCAAGTAGTATCAGATGGCGAGTAGCTATGACGTGGTCTGGTGTTTTGAGTAGTCATGCTCACTAAAATGTCCAGACTTGTGGCGGCGTGGTGGGCCGGGTCATTGGGCTCCCTAAAATATGGTCGAGCGCAGTGGTGGCTGGCTCATCCGTCATACTCGTGAACGGGTGCTGCTTGTGTGGACTGGTCTGCTCTAATCACAATGACTTATTATATAATGTTTTTTTTCTATTTTATTATTTCATTGAATTAGTGCTAATCGGTGGTTTGTATTCACACACTTAAACTTAAATTGTAAGTAAGAATAAATTATTTAAAAGAGCAACACACAAGTTTCTTGCTTGTTCTTCTTGTGATGAGACAGCATTCCGAATGAGCGGTAGGTTAAAAAAAAAATGTTATGACTATTCAAAAGTGCTTCAATGTAAGTTTATTTGAATAAATGATTTTCTATTCTATTCTATTCTATTCATTACTCCCGATTAGCCTTCACGTTAGTTTCAAAGACAAATATGAATCGAATAATTTGTTTAGAAGCGGCACAAACGGATGTTTCGCTGAGTTTCTGAGACGGGATTCAAGTTCATTTGATTAAATTAGGGTTGCCAAGAGCAAATTTAAGAAACTAGGATTGAAAGTTCAGAAAAACTAGGACTATCCAGTTTGAAACTGCACTGAACGAGTGCTGCTTGTAGGGACTGGTCTGCTCTTATCACTACGACTGATTTAATCTTATTGTATACTAGCTATTCAACTTTATTTTTCTAAAATAAAAGTCGCCCTGGTGTTTCAGGCGTTCATGGGCTACGGTAACCATTTACCATCAGATAGGCCGTATGCTAAATTGCCACCATCATAGTATAAAAAAAAAGTTAAATAGTTAATTAGCGAATTTTTCTAAAATATAAGTAGCCTAAGTTACTCCTTATTACATCAGCTAAGTAATAAAAAAGTCCCGTCAAAATCGGTCCAGCCATTTTAGAGATTAACCGGAACAAACAGACAGACAGACAAAAATTGTAAACAAATGTTATTTTGGTGTATGTACCGTATTTATATTCATATGCATGTAGTAAAAAACGGTTATTTCAATATTACAAACAGACACTCCAATTTTATGATTTATATTTGACCCTAATGAATTAGTGCTGGTTGGTAGTTTGTATTCACACGTTTCGACTTGTAAATGTAAACTTACAAGGATTATTTAAAAGAGCATCACGCAAGTTTCTTGCTCGTTCTTCTTATGATGAGAGCTTTCCGAATGAGCGGTAGATAAAAAAAATGTGATGACAATTCAAAAGTGCTACAATGTAAGTTTATTCGAATAAATGATTTTCTATTCTATTCTATTCTAATAACAGAACGCAGTAATAGTGTTGCAATAGTTATATTAATGTGTAGTAAATTCAAGTAATTAATATAATCAGGTTCTTAATAAACAGTATTTGATAAAATTGTACTGTTGACCACCAGTAATTAAGAGGCGCGCGTATTTTAAAAACCCAGGACGATGACAAATATCTATTCAGGACTTCCCGGGACACGTCAAGAACTAGGACATGTCCTGGGAAAACAGGACGGTTGGCAACTGTATATTAAACTCTACGACAAAGTACTGATGTTGTGGAAATTGTATTTGGTAATGTAATATATACTTGGAGAACTCGCATACCTATATCTATACGTATAAATAAAGTTGGAGTGTCTGTTTGTAATATTGAAATAACGGGTTTTTACTACATGCATATGAATATAAAGATATATAACTCAAAGGTGACTGACGTAGTGGTCGAAATTTGGCATGCAGGTAGATAATATGACGTAGGCATCCGCTAAGAAAGGATTTTGATAAATTCTACCCCCAAGGGGATAAAATAGGGGATGAAAGTTTGCATGAAAATTTGTCAATTTTAAACCGATCGGGCTGAGACTTTGCATGCATAAAGCTACTATAACGTAGGCATCCCATAAGAAAGGATTTTGATAAATTCCACCCCTAAGGGGATAAATTAACGCGAGCCAAGCCGCGGGCAAAAGCTAGTATATAATAAATACGGTACATACGCCAAAATTACATTTTTTACAATTTTTGTTTGTCTGTCTGTTTGTTCCAGCTAATCTCTGAAATGGCTGGGCCGATTTTGACGGGACTTTTATTGGCAGGTAACTGATGTAATAAGGAGTAACTTAGGCTACTTTTGTTTTAGAAATAATCTTTTATTTTAGAAAAATAAAGTTAAATTCCACGCGGACGAAGTCGCGGGAATAGCTAGTATATATATATGCGTAATCAAAGGAAAATAGGCATATAACATTTAGTTTAATATAACTGAAGAACCACCTCGGGGATTAACTGTCAGTTACATTTGAAAACAGTAACTCAAGATTACAAAGAAGTTATTTGGAAACAGAGAAATGGAATCTTTGACGGAAATAATCCAATCAGAGTTGTTAACTGTGACGCAATATTGTTACGAAACTACATTTAATTTTCTTCAATTCAATATTAAAATAGATTTCTCAATATATATAAAATAGGAGTGTCTGTTTGTAATATTGAAATAACCGCTTTTTACTACATGCCTTCATATGCATCCAGAATAACATTTTTTACAATTTTTGTCTGTCTGTTTGTTCCGGTTAGTCTCTTAAATGGCTGGACCGATATTGACGGGACTTTTTGGCAGGTAATAGGGAGTAACTTAGGCTACTTTTATTTTAGAAAAATAAAGTTAAATTCCACACGGACGCAGTTGCAAGTACAGCTAGTAACAAATACAAAATGTTATTTTGGTATATGTACCGTATTTACATTCATATGCATGTAGTAAAAAAACGGTTTTTTCAATATTACAAACAGACACTCCAATTTTATTTATATGTATAGATAAGTGTGCAGAATTACATACTCCTCAGTCAGCGTAATTTTCGTAAAAAGGGCTACAACGTTTTATCTTCACGTATTAATGTTGGTAACGAATACAATACCGATAGTTTATTAAAAATTATTCATAAAAAATCATATTTGAATATACCCATATTGATTTCCCTGATATATATTTAAAATTATTAAATTATATAGGGCATTTATATCACTTCATCATCATCATCTCAGCCCGGAAGACGTATTGAATATTAAGCGATCTTATTATATATCACTTACTGAATATTAAATTTATTATATTATAGCTGTACCAGCGACTTCGTCCGCGTGGAATCTAACTTTATCTTTCTAAAATAAAAGTAGCTAAGTTACTCCTTATTACATCTGCTACCTGCCAACGAAAGTCCCCTCAAAATCGGTCCAGCCATTTCAGGGAGTAGCCGGAACAAACAGACAGGACACAGACAAAAATTGTACAAATAAAAAATGTCATTTTGGTGTATGTACCGTTTTTATATTCACATGCATGTAGTTAAAAACGGTTATTTCAATATTACAAACAGACACACCAATTTTATTTATATGTACAGATTATCCATAAAAATCATATTTTAATGTACGCATATTGATCTCCCTGATTTGTATTTGAAATTATTAATTTATACAGCGTTTATTTCATTCATTTTATTATCTAATAACCACTCTTTGTTTAACATGTTACTCGACGCATATTACGAATGAAACTCGAAATAATATTAACTAATGCAATACAACATTACGACTTACCAACAACGAGGGAGATGGCCAGGAACATCACAAATATAACATTATACTTCCACATTTTTAAACGAATCACAGTGTTTTTGTTCAGTAGCTGAATTTCATTGTAGAAACGAGGATGTAACGAGCGTTCACGGCGCGCGCTCAACGCGGTCTGCCAGAGGGGCGGCCCGGGACTGGGGGTGGAATGTATATAGGGTTGCCAGTTTTTTTTTAACTAAAACAACATATAAACTGGTTTGGATAGGAAAATGAAGTTTTTTTTTTTCATTTTAAACGTATGTTTGTATGTGTTTAACACTAGAGCTGTGCTAAAACAACTCACAATTGACGTCTTAACATTACGTTCAGTGATTACAAATCGTTAAGTACCCATAATGAGTATTTTGTTTTACGCATCACAGTAAAGGTTGAAAATAAAGTATTTTTGCATACTTTATGTAAAACTAGCAGTACTCCGCGTGGACTTTAACTTTATTTTTCTAAAATGAAAGATTTTTTTCTAAAATAAAGGTAGCCTAAGTTACTCCTCATTACATCAGTTACCTGCCAATAAAAGTCTCGTCAAAATCGGTCCAGCCATTTCAAAGATTAGCCGGAACAAACAGACAGAGAAAAACTGTAAAAAAAATTATTTTGTGTGTAGGTATGTACCGTATTTATATTATTATGCATGTAGTAAAAAACGGTTATTTCAATATTACAAATAAACTCTCCAATTTTTGTTATATGTATCATTACATAGTATAAAACAAAGTCGCTGTCGCTGTCTGTCGGTCCCTATGTATGCTTAAGTCTTTAAAACTACGCACCGGATTTTGAAGCGGTTTTTAATAGATAGAGTGATTCAAGAGGAAGGTTTATATATATCGTACATGTACGCCCGTGCGAAGTCGGTGCGAGTAACTAGTAGATTATAAAGTATAATTAAACCAAAAATAAAGTAGGATACGTTAATATAAAGTATGGTTGGCAACCCTAATAGTATGTAGGTCTGTTCATAGTTCAGAGCAAACAGTGAGAGCCCAGCGAGTTTGCTATAAGAATTGATAAGGGGCTTCATAATGAAGAAGACAGCTGTTGATAGTACATAAGTAGCTATTTTGTAAACAATGTATTTATACGCGTACAGACCATAGTAATTGTTTTTCCTCCTCCCAAGATAATATCGCAATAGAATATCTGTTTTTTAAAGATAAAAGATAGTTTAGTTTGTAACCGTCCTCGTAGGGGGGGGGGAAGGGTATTGTTAGTAATGTGGATTGATAACCCCATTGCTAGCAATGTACCGTGTCAGGTCGACCTCCACGCGGTTCCCCCTGGTAACCATCGTGTCAAATTCCTGGTGAATTTGTCACGATGGGCTAACTGACCTGACCCCATGCTCGTCTTATCATCCTCCACTGGTGCCCCGCCAGCGTAAACCGTTAGCGCAGGCGGGTGCACCATTCCATTATCATCCACAAAAAAAAAAAACCGTCCTCGTAATACCATTGCTATCCGTGCAGTCATTTCACGGAAGTGTAATACAAAGACACATTTATAATTTTAACATGGATATAAGACTGTTGTAAAATAATAATATATAAGTGATTCTAATCACAGATTCTAATATTTAAAAAAACACGAGTCTATCATAATTTATCATTTATAGAGTATAGTTGAGTAACAATTATAAAAAGAAGTTTAAAAACTAAAAATTGACCACTGAAGCTTCTAACGGTTTACACTGACGGGGCACCAATGGAGGATGATGAGGTCAGGTCAGTTAGAGCATCGTGACAAATTCACAAGGAATTTATCACGATGATTTCCATGGTACATTGAAACAATTAATTTATTTGTTTACATTAAAAATGAATCTGTATTATTGTAAACATGTACAACATTTATTTGAAAAGAATACGAGCTGAGTTTCTTGTCAGTTCTTCTCATCTCGAAATCATTTCGAACTGACGGTAGATTTGACATATCATAAGAGTCTGTAATAGACCTACGCGAATAAAGATATTTTGATTTGATTTGAGGTACTTAATTCTGAAATTAAGGTAATGTATCTGTAACTTAAAATTTTGTTTTTTGAATTTTAAATTACTAACGATTCTATTGTTGAATTACAAAATATAAACATTATTTTTTGGTTTCATGATTATCAGTATCGTAATAAATAATAGAGTTAGAGTTTATTAATATCAAACATTAAATAAATTGAAAACGTATGTAAGTTATATAAAAAAGAATCTCTAATTATAAAAAACAAGTTTTTTATATAACTTTGTAAGATCCCTTTGACTGCCATGGTTACCTATAAATAATTATACATTTATAATTGTTGGTGATCCTGAATAAAGTAAAAAAGGAAACTAAAATCCGGCTACTGAAAATTAAACCCTATATAATATGAAAAATAAATACCTTTTACCATCGCACCGCTCGCCATCGACAAGGTATTCATCACACGCTGGAACCTAAGTGGTCTCAGACAGCTCGGTTTCAGAGGAGCTTCCTACCGTGTACACTTACATTGTGGAATGAACTACCTGATGAAGTTTTCTCACGAGACTACAGCATGGGGTTTTTCGAGAAGGGTATATTAAGGTTTCTTAAGGGTCGGCAACGCGCACGTGACACCCCTGGTGTTTCAGGCGTCCATAGGCTACAGTAACCATTTACCATCAGATGGGCCGTATGCTTGTTTGTCACCACAGTAGTATAGAAAAAAATCCAATACCTGTTTTTAAGTCTAAAGTATATTCCCGATCAAATTGTACATTGTATCAGTCGACCCGTGACTTGAGACGTTTATTCCGATATTTCATAAATAATGTTAAAGTTTTTTTTCATAAAATTGGTCACAATTATTAAAAGTTAGCAAGTATGTATTATATAAATTTTATTCATCCATTGCTTTGGTGCTTCGGGCGAGATTTAGTTAATAGTACTGAAGAATATAACTAGATGGCGCTAAAACGAAATTAGAACATTAAAACATTTAGTCAAATGTTATACGAATATTAAGATATGGACTAAAAAATGACCTATATAACGGGATAATACGGTGGATCGAGTTTTTTTTTATAAAATACACATGAACAACATTGAATAAAACTTAGCAAGTATGTATTATATAAATTTTATTTATACATTGCTTTGGTGCTTTGCGGGAGATTTAATTAATAGTACTGAAAAGTATAACTAGATGGCGTTAAAACGAAATTCGAACATTAAAATATTTAGTCAATCAAAATGACCTATATAATGGGATAGTACGGTGCATCCAGAAGCAAGCAATTATTATTTTTAGTAGACATGAGAATGTAGCCGTCCTCGCCCCACTGTTCGCCCCAGGAGTTCCTCACCAGCCAGTACTCCTCACCGTCCCGGATTCCGTAACCTACCACGGTGACAGCGTGGTTGAGGTGTTCATTATTGCTGAAAAATATCGTACTTTTAAAAGAAAAACGTAAATAATAATTTTTTTCTGGAACTTCGAATTTGATATAAAAAAATTACACCTGCCAAAGGAACCACGATCCAAATTTCATGTTTGGAGACCGTTCTTACCTGTGTTGGGGACACACATACAAGAACTTTCACATTTACTAATAATACAGATGTCAGGCCGTCGTGGGCTCTTGCTTTATCAGTTATCTAGTACCCATAACACAAGCTTTAGCTATCTGAACTTGGGTCTAGATGGCGCTGTGTGAATTGTCCTTTTTTTTAAATATATTAATAATAATACCAACCACGAGAAATCATAAAACACTCCATTGGAGTAGAGCAGCATGTCATCGCTGGCGTGAATGGTGGCGGAGACAGCTCCGTACATGTTCAGCGCCACCTTGAGGGCGCTGCCGCTATGTGCTGTGACAGCCGTGTAACCTGATATTTTGTATGTTGACGTCATATTATTTATATGACATATGCCGTCCTGCAAATATTAAATAAGCAATGTAAAAAAAAATAATCCCAATTTCCCTTGGTGACACAAGCTGTGAACGACTGTACCGATTTCGTTTATGCTTTTTTTGTTTTGTCTGTTATTGTATTACATTTTATACAATGAAATTTCGTTTTATTTATTTCATTTGTATGTGAAGGTCTTCATGTGAAGTAAAATTAAGAAAATTGCTTGAAATATTTCAATATTCATAATTAATACAGGACAGCATCAGGACAGGTCAGCTAGTTCGATATAAAACATTAAATACGACTACATTTATTTGTATCACATATCACTTCCTGATAAGTCCACAAATTATACTTGTGCTATGTAATATTATGTTATCTGTGCTTGTACTAACTATGCCCTCGGTTTCACTCGTATGAAATTTATAGCCCATGTGTTATGCGTGTGTTATTATATTTATACTGAAAAGTCATCAAAATCAGTTCATAAGTTTTTAAGTGAAAGGATAACAAACATCCATCAATCTATATATCCATCCATACTAACAAACTTTCGCGTTTAGAATATTGCTAAGATTTAGAGGTTGTTAATATATATAATCACGCCATCTAGCGCTAACAATTGCAACTAAAATGCGCCTATAGTTTCGTTAGTTTATCTATTTGACGCTAGATGGCACTATTTATATACGAAAAGTGTTTAGAAGAAAATCCCGCACGCTCCGAAGAATAATCGAATTATTAACTTCATTTTAATTTGTAAAACGTTATATATGTTTCTGAGGCAACTCTGGTTTAGGTTTCGAGTTAACAGACAGTTTGATTCACACTTTAGTTCAGATTGGTAGTTTGTTCTATTAAATTAATTTTCTTTTTGTTGACGTTGCAAATATTTTGTTATTTTATATCCACTATACGCGAATATCGTAATACGCTCTTTCCGTATAAGTGGTAGAGTGTAATAATATTGTGGAATATAATATAGTCTACTGATACTGCACAACTGCAAAGTTCCAATTCACAAAGATTCAACACTTTATATGTAACTAGCTACTCGACCCGCCTTCGTACGGGTATACATGTATTATATATATAAACCTTCCTCTTGAATCACTCTATGTATTTAAAAAAACCGCTTAGAAATCCGTTGCGTAGTTTTAAAGATTTAAGCATACATACAGGAGCACAGACAGCGACAGCGACTTTGTTTTATACTATGTAGTGATACTGATTTACATTTAATATATATATATTAGTATATATACATATATGTCACAAAAAAAAAAATTAGGGGTGGAATCATTTAGGGGGATGAAAAATAGATGTTATCAGATATATATATATATATATATATATATATATGTCACATTATTTGTAACAAAACTTTTAAATGGCTTGACAGATTTTTATGAAATTTTGTGTGTATGTACAGTAGGTAAGAGTATAGGACGTAAGCTATTTTTCATAATCCTAAGAGATGAAAGCTTCTATATTTTTTATATAAATATAAAAAGTTATTTTTTAATATTTTTATGATTCTATATATTTAACCCTCCTGCAATAAACCCCAGTTTTTTAATAGCAATATTAATTTCTATGGCAGAACAACATTGGCCATATCATATTGTACATATTGTGAGTGTGTAAATAAGGACTTACCTCTTGCAGGTAACCACCATATTCACTTTCTAAAGGTATACCGTATTCCATTATATATTCAAATGACTGCGCCAAATAACCACCGTTACAGCCCATGTTATAGTGCCTGAAACAAAACAACAGTCTCGACACCACAGTTGTTATTTTTTAGGCATTTTATTCGATCCCCACACGAGGGGGGATATCAAACAACGCGTGATCACGTGTCCCAACGTGTAAATTTACGTTCGTTGCGGAGTGACCCACCGGTGGGCATGTTTTTAACGTATTAACCCCCTGAGAGGAATGGGATTGTTAGTAATAGGAACTAGTAATCCCCATTGTTAGCAATGTACCGTGAAAGATCGACCTCCATGGGGTACCTCCTAGAAACCATTGTGATATATCCCTAGTGAATTTATCACGATGTGCTACTGACCTGCCCTTATCATCCTCCACTGGAGCCCCGCCCGCGTAGATCGTTAGCGCAGGCATAGTGCAGATGCCAGCATTGTTGATCAGCCACTAGTGAAATCGATTCTTACACGCAGTTTTTTTTTGTTTGAATATGTTGTGGTAGTCACTACATTCTTCTCTAATGGATTTTGAAACAGAATCCGTATTTCTGCAACTATATATAACCTCATTTGAAAAAAATACGTGCTGAGTTTCTCGTCAGTTCTTCTCATCTCGAAATCATTCAACTGACAGTAGATTTGACATATCATAAGTCTGTAATAGACCTACATGAATAAAGATATTTTAATTGAATTTGATATTAGTATGGAGATGTACTGACCCCCAAGCACAGTCGACCAGTGACTGCTCGCTCAAGTCCGGTGGCGGTGCCTGGAGCGTCCGCGAGGAGGCCGCCTCCACCGTCGCGGTGGTCGCGAACGCCCAACACGAGCCACAGTTTAGTTGATCTACAAAGTAATATATAAAAAATGAGTTATCATACAATTTCAAGGTGAATGACCTTCTTGTAGGTTTTTTTTATTCTCTTTTTATTTATTTATTTATTCAGTAACGATTTATATTGTGTTTGAAATTATAAAATTTTTGCTCAAAGATGTGTCAAAGGTTTTTGAAGTTTAGTTACGCAATAAATTTCTGAACGCACCCTGTTTCACAGGTATCAGCCGTTTGTATGGGAAAATAAAATTGTTGTTTTTACTATTTTACATGCAATTTCTTCATATTTCATCACCGTTTCCTTCCCTGGACTTCCACAAATATTTCAAAACCAAATTTAGCCAAATCGGTTCAGCCGTTCTCGAGTTTTAGCGAGACTAACGAACAGCAATTAATTTTATATATATAGACTAGCTACTCGCCCCGGCTTGGCACGGGTGTACATGTATTATACATATGAACCTTCCTCTTGAATCACTCTATCTATTAAAAAAAACCGCTTCAAAATCGGTTGCGTAGTTTCAAAGATTTAAGTATACATAGGGACAGACAGCGACAGCGACTTTGTTTTGTACTATGTTTCAACAAAGCTTATTTTTAACTTACTCTTAATCGGAGGTACAATTCCTTCTAATCTCAAGTCAAAGTTGTCAGGTAACTCTTTGACAATGCTGTCCACTTCCGTCAAAGTGTGTGGGAAAGGGTGTGTGCCGACGTGTGGTGTGGTGGGCGAGGGTGGCATGGCTCCGGTCAGTCGTGCCAGCTCCGCAGGGGTCCAATCTGCGAACTCGTTGATTCCCATTCTATATGTGGATCGCTTGCGATTGTGAGTTTTGACTCTCCTGATTTTAAATACAAAAATATTACTTTCGTGTTTAATATACTTTATTTATATTATTAACCGGAACTAACTACGATACGAATTGATTAATAAAATTCTTAAAGTAAAGAATTAAATAGAAATATTGGGGCAGAGTTACATATTGTCGTAACGTACACTAGTGCTTTTATTTTATTAGAAATAAAGGTAAATAAATACCTTACCTACACGAACTAATTTTATGGTAAATAAAGGTATTTACCTCTCTCGACGTTTCGACTAGGTTGCACTAGCCGTGGTCACGAGCTGACTGCTCACGAAAGTCGGTTAATAATATAAACAATGAATATTACTCATATAACTCTAACATGAGTTCACATCAGTATTGTTCCGGCTAATCTCTGAAATGGCTGTACCGATTTTGACGCGACTTTTATTGGCAGGTAGCCGAGGAGTCACTTAGGCTTTTATTTTAGAAAAATAAAGTTAAATTCCACGCAGACGAAGTCGCGTGTATAGATAGTTTTAAGTGTCTGTCTGTTCGTTCTTGTTAATCTCTGAAACAGTTGCACTGATTTTGGCAGGACCCTCAGATAGCTAATGTTATGAAGGGTAACTTGGACCCCTTACATTTAAGAAATTCAAATTCAAATTCATTCATTCATTCATTTATTCATGTAGGACATTTTAGCCGCTTATGAACGTCAAATTTTTTATATTATAATTTTAATTCTTTATCTTCTACGGAATTAACTTTTTGTTATAATAAATATATAAATTACATTTTTTATAACATAAAAAAAAGTAATTCCGCAGTCGCTGGTAACAGCCAGTTAACTGCTAACAGTAACTAACAGTTAACTGCTACCACTAAGTGGTAGATACTGCTACCATCTACTGTCCAGTATTTCTATAATAGTGTATTACAGTTGATTCATCTTATTAATTGATAATTAATCAAAGAAATTACTTAACGAACATATGTTCATGGACCACAAATTATTAATATTAATTACTCGCCCCGGTTTCGCTCGGGTGTACATGTATTATATATATAAACCTTCCTCTTGAATCACTCTATCTATAAAAACAACTGCTTCAAAATCCGTTGCGTAGTTTTAAAGATTTAAGTATACATAGAGACGAACGGACAGCGACAGCGACTTTGTTTTATACTATGTAACTAGCTTTTGCCCGCGGCTTCGATCGCGTTGATTGACGTACTTTCATCCCTTGTTTTATCCCCTTGGGGGTGGAATTAATCAAAATCCTTTCTTAAAGGATGCCTACGTCATAGTAGCTTTATGCAAAAAATTGACAAAGTTTCATACAAACTTTCATCCCCTATTTTATCCCCTTGGGGTAGAATTAATCAAAATCCTTTCATAGCGGAAGCCTACGTCATAACATCTACCTGCATGCCAAATTTCAGCCCGATCCGTCCAGTGGTTTGGGCTGTGCGTTGGTAGATCACTACGTCTGTCAGTCAGTCACATTTGAGTTATATATATTTAGATGATTCATCAACTTACCTCCAGTTGTATTCAAACACAAACTTCCTCATCTCGTCATCGTCAGCATACTTCTTCTTGTGGTGACTCTTAAATCTAAAAAATACATCTTCATTTCATTCTATTCTATTCTATTCTATTAATAATAATAATAATAACACGAAACACCAAACACGTAGACACGTTGCAGATCCCCTCCTCTACAATAGACCTATTACAAAAAGCCGTCATTCTCAAGACATATCGTATTGTACGGAAATATCTGTCGTCTTCACTTTTTGCCATATAAATTAAAAAAGCTATAAAAAATTAGGGGTTGATGGTAGAAGGGTGAAAATTTAGGATTGTATCATAAAAAAATAGAAACTAAAAATTTTGTCTATGAAATAAAATAAAAAATTAGGGGTGGACTACCCCTAACATTTAGGGGGATGAAAAATAGATGTTGGCCGATTCTCAGACCTACTCAATACGCTCACAAAATTTCATGAGAATCGGTCAAGCCGTTTCGGAGGAGTATGGGAACGAAAACTGTGACACGAGAATTTTATATATATATATATATATATGTATTTATATTAGTTGTATAGAATCCATAACACAAACTCTGCTTAGCTTGGTACTAGATACAGATGTGTTGTTTGACCTGATATATTCCAGTCCCGCCTGATGGTAGGTGGCAACCGTCGTTACTATTACATGAACATCACCACGCAGAAGACCATACCATATGACGACAGTGATATCACTCATGTTAAGGGTAAAAGGGAATTGTTAGTAATGTGGATTGATGGTCATATTGCTGGCAATGTACCATGTCAGGTTGACCTCCACGCGGTTCCCCCTGGAAACCATCGCGATAATTTCTTTGTGAATTTATCACGATGTGCTAACTGACCTGACCTCATGCTCATCTTATCATCCTCCACTGGTGCCCCGCCAGCGTAAACCGTTAGCGCAAGCGGGTGCACCATTCCATTATAGTCAACCATTAAAAAAAACCACTCATGCGTAGCCATTAGTCATAAAGCGACGGTAATCTTACCATCAGGTGAGCTACTTAAATTACAGTTTTTTTTTGTTAGAACCTGTGTACTTTACCGATCAAAAGCTAAGTCCAGATCCACTGGTACATCAGGATGCAGATGCTGCAGCGCGCTGTTCAGAGGCATCTCGGCCATCTGAGTCTGGCATTCGGAATCTAGAACAATCTCAATCTTAATAATAATATTATAAATGCGAAAGTTTGTCAATATGTTACTCTTCTGTTTGTTACTCTTTCACACAAAAACTACTAAACGAATTTTGATGAAACTTTACAGTAATATAAGCTATATTGGAATATATAATTGGAGCTGCATCGGAATAACATATATTTGTATATAAAAATTACGTGTCACGTTGTTTGTCCGCGATGGACTCCTAAACTACTGAACCGATTGCAAATTTGATTTGCACATTGTGTGCAATTTGATCCAACTTGAAAGATAGGATAGCTTACATCTCAATTTGTAATCGCAATATTATTTTATTCAAGAACCTTAGACACAGCAACGCGTGGCCGGGTCTGATGGTAGACTATATTTTTTATTGAAATTTAACGCGACATCTAGTGAAAGGTAAGTTTGTGTTATATGCTAGACAACTGATATACATATTATATACATTTTTCTGAAATAATAATATATAAATAACACATAATATATATATTTTTTCTTACGGACAATTAACACAGCGCCATCTAGTCCCACGGTAAGCAGAGCTTGTGTTATGGGTACTAGACAACTGATATAAATACTTAGATAAATTTTTTTAGTAATTAGATATATAATACGAGGATATGTAGATAGACACATAATATATATATTTTTTTCTTACAGACATAAATAGGCGGAATGGTAATGTTAGTAATGTGGATAACGTACCATGTCAGATCGACCTCCACGCGGTTGCTCAAACTATTAAATATTTGTGAATTTCATAGCGAGATATTTTTTTTCAAATCTTTGACTACCAACCTCTTTTATATATTTTTATTGTCGTAAAATTTGCTTTAAAAATGTTTATTTAATATATTTTTAAGTTTAGTTAAAATATTTTTCCAAAAACTACAACTTACAATAGAATTTTTAAAATGGAGTTTGTATTTTTGCATTTAGCCACTGATTAAAAGGTCGATCTTTAGACCATAGACGAATAGATTTAGAGATAAACTTCATTTTGTAATTAAATACATTGGTGAATGGTTTATATAACATAGGGTTTATTATCTTTTGAACTGGTTGAATCGTGGGAAACGGCTGCTGTAATTTTCGAAACTATCTGCTCTTCATAATTTAATCACGAGCGCGTCTGTTCATAGATATTTTTTTTATGGATGATAATGTAATGGTGCACCCGCCTGCGCTAACGGTTTACGCTGGCGGGGCACCAGTGGAGGATGATATGAGATGAGTATGAGGTCAGGTCAGTTAGCACATCGTGACAAATTAATCAGGAATTAATAACGATGGTTGGGATGTGATGTACGTATGTGTAGTGATGTGGACTAATAATCCCATTGCTAGCAATATGCCAAGATAATTCAAATTCAAATTCAAAAATCATTTATTCATGTAGGACATTTTAGCCGCTTATGAACGTCAAGTTTTACATTATATTTTTTTCCCTACCGTCCAGTTCGGTATATAGATCCAATTGAGAAGAACTGGCAAGAAACTCAATTGAATTACTTTTTTTTTAAATCCAGTTTATTTACAATGCATAGGTATTTATATAGGTGTCTATGTCTAACATTATAATGAAAATCCCGAACATGAAAACTATTGCCATGCACGCTCGTCATTCAAGTAATCGTTTAGTGAGTAGATAGGTTGACCTCCACACAGTTCCCCTGGAAACTATCGCGATAAATTCTTGGTGTTATATGTCACAATGTGCTAACTGACCTGACCTCATGCCCATCCTATCATCCTCCACTGGTGCCCCGCCAGCGTATACCGTTAGCGCAGGCGGGTGCACCATTACATTAGCATACACTAAAATAAACCACGATGGAACCGTGTGGAAGTCAACCTAACTTGGCACATTGCTAGCAATGTAATCATGAATATATATAACTAACAATCACCTTCCCACTGTCTCTAGATATTATCCATCTACATTCCATGATGCCGGACACAAGGTCCAATTTCCTCTCGGCTGAAAACCTTTAAATTGGTTAAGACAATTGTTCCAACACCTTAATCAACCCTCAAACCGCAGTTAACATTCTCTAGTCTTCATAAAACAAATACCTTAACCGTTATTGAAGTAATAAAGAAACATACACAAAGAATTTTCAGACATTGATATTTTTTCAAATTCATTGCATGCCTCCAAAGGGAAGTAATACAAAAATTGAATTGTATCTAATATGACACAATAATTATGTATTTGTAGATTTTGTCTTTTCTTTTTTAAATGTACTAGTTACTTTCCAGACATTGTAATGTAGGTACTTGGGTATTCTTTGTTTAGTTAATAATTAATAGTTATGTTTTCTTCACTGTCTATGTTATAATTGTTTTGTTATATTTCATATTACTGTATCGTCTGATTATAGTAAAATATAAAAAAAAAATCTAACCTTAATATCTAGGCTCATTATCACAATTCTACTTATTAATATAATAGTACTAAATACTTTTCGGTACTCGTTGTCTATCAACTATCTATATATATATATATATATAAATTTGTAATTATAACTGTAATGACTGTTTGTACCAAAAAAAAAAAAGTTGTCGACCGGGAGGAAACTGATCACATTGACCTATTGTTGGCTCGAAACGATTTAGGTGTAATTTCGATCGTGAAAACAGCATTTGAATAGAAATTAGTTGAAGATAAAGGGGTAATTTAAAATACAATGTGTAGAGAGCCTGTCTTAATGATTTTTTTAGGCGATTTAGATCATGTCATGTACTAGCTGTACACGCGACTTCGTCCGGTTGGTATTTAACTTTATTTTTCTAAAATAAAACTAGCCTAAGTTACCCCTTATTACATCAGCTACCTGTCAAAAAGTACCGTCAAAATCGGTCCAGCCATTTCAGAGATTAGCCGGAACAAACAGACCGACAGACAGACAAAAATTTTAAAATATACCGTATTTATATTCATATGCATGTAGTAAAAACGGTTATTTCAATAGTACAAACAGACACTCCAATTTTATTTATATGTATAGATTACTGAAACCTTCAAGAAAAGAGCCCATTTCTTCTTAATATGCCTGCAACGCACTTGAAACTCCCCTACTTTTGCGGGTGCTCATAGGCGTCGGTATCGGGAAATCAGTTCAGGTGAGCTGCAAACTCGTATATCCCCTATACTATACAAAAAAATGCAATAGTCTGATGAATATCACCTTACCATTAACAAGAAGGTGTTCCAATGAGAACGCGGTGTGATATCCCTCGAAGGTTGTGATGATGTGCGAGGAGGCAGCTCCCGTCCACCAGTTGTATTTCTTTGATGTCCTCCTAAATGTACACGTCATCAATTATTGCTGTGCACGCGCGGTATTGTTAAGTTAAATCATTTAAAAATAACAATTTTAACTCATCATCATCACTTGCTTCGTCCTTATCCCATTTATATTACACCCACAAATAAATGGGATAAGGAAGAAGCAGGTGATGGTCGTAATGTTTTTCTCTTCCATTCATCTCTGTTCGCAGTCATCTCGTTATTTACTTCCTTTCTTACCATATCATCTTTCACACAGTCCATCCATCTCCTTTTCGACCTTCCTCTGCCCTTATAACCATCCACATTCATATGTAATACCGTCCTTAGGATATGATCTTCATTCCTACGCATTACATGTCTATACCACGATAGACGATTACTCTTCAACCTCTCTGACACCGGTGCCACTTTCATACTTCCTCTAATGTATTCATTCTTTATCTTGGCCATCCTTGTCACACCACACATCCATTTTAACATTAGCATTTCAGTTGCATGCTTCATTCAGTCTTTCATCCGTCGCCTTTACGGGCCAGCACATTCGCATTTCCGTTGTATGCAGTTGTCTTTAATCCATGGAATTTACGGGCCAGCACTCAGGTCCATACAAGACAACAGGCCGGATCATGATCTTGGAAACGTTTCCCTTAAGTTTGATGATTTTTAATTCTTTGTCATTATTTTTTAATTGTTTGTTAATTTTTAATTCCTTGTCATTATTTTTTAATTCTTTGGTAATATTTTACCCCTTGGTAATTTTTAATTCTTTGTTAGAATAGAATAGAAAATCATTTATTTAAATAAACTTAATTTAAGCATTTTTGAATAGTCAACAATTTTTTTTTAATATACCGCTTAATTGGAAAGCTGTCTCATTACAAGAAGAATAAGAAAGAAACTTGAGTGTTGCTCTTTTAAATAATTCTTGTAAGTTCACATTTACAAGTCGAAACGTGTGATTACAAACTACCAACCAGCACTCATTTATTAGGATCAAGTATAAAAACACAATAAGAGCAGACCAGTCCCTACAAGCAGCACTCGTTCAGGAGTATGACTGATGAGTTAACTTTTTATTCCTTGTTAATTTTTAATACTTTGATAATTTTTATACAATTTTTTGGTAATGGGTAATTTGATACAACTTCGTACCTGATGGGTATATCCAAGCCCTCCTCATTCTTGTACACGTAAAGTTTCTCCTCGTGTAGCGTCCTATCGGCACTGTCCGACCGTATCCAAACGTCTACAGCTTTATCATTAAAGGCCATTTGTTCTGAAAGTATAAAGATTTTGGTGGCAATTAAGCATACGGCCTATCTTATGGTTACCGTAACCTATAGACAACAAGGTTTAATTATGTGTTATCGACCCTTAAGAAACTTTTCTTTAACGGATGAATGTAATGGTGCACCCTTCTCTCTTCAATTTTATAGTAAGCTTTTTTACAAAGGAAGTATTTTATATAATATTTAAATCTTTTTCAAGCAGATTTATAACAGACTCTGGTATTTTTTTGTAAAACCGTACGCAATTATCATAAAACGAATTACTAACTTTAGTTAAAGTAGATTCAGGTAAAATCAGTTTTTTATTGTGTAAAACTCTTTTGAAATTGTCTATATTCTTCCTAGCATACATGATATTTAATTATTATTTTTAGGGTTCACATCAATTTTTAAGAAAAATCCTCCCTGCTATACTGACTTTGGTCTACAAATACGTAGGTCGGTAGTTGTATAATGCTCTTTCGGTGGGTGAGCCGCGGTATTCAGTCGTCGAGCACAGAGCGTGCCGGTTGTGTTTTGGACACTAAAGTGAATTGTATTAGAAATGGGTTTATCCCGGTCTTAGTTGGGCCTGGAGGGAAGCTGCAAGTAGTGAAGGTGAGTGTTAATGCATTCTAAAAGGGCCTTTTAAACCTACACCCGTGTCACAAGTCACGGGCGCTACTTGGGGTTTCCCTTGCGGTAGCCGGCTTCAAAGCCTAAGTCGTCATCATAATTAGTGCTTCTTACATTATGTAATCTTAAGGATTCCTTAGATGTTATTATTTGACGAGCTCGGTGGTCTAGCGGTCTAGCACACCGCTTTACGACCGATGGTCGCTGGTTCTATTCCTCGCACGGCAAAAACATTGGTATTCCTGAGTATGATTGTTTGTATCGGTCTGGGTATTTTCTATGTATAATATGTATTTACAAAAAAATATATATATCTATGTATATGTATCAGTTATCTAGTACCCATAACACAAGCTTTAGCTAGCTTAACTTGGGTCTAGATGGCGCTGTGTGAATTGTCCTGAGATTATTATTATTATTATGTATCTTAAATGCTTACCACTAAATACCCAATCCTCATTAGATGTAGGCAGGAGGCTGAACTCACTTCCTTCAAATGTAGATGAGTAGCAGACCATCTCTATTGTCTGCGTGTCCTCGGATTGTGGGTGATACTGTCAGGAGTAAACTTTCATGAAATTACAGGGTATTTTTTTTATTGGATTGTTTTGAGCTATTGTCAGATGTGTAGCCCCTGTAGCACTGCGACCTACATAGATCTATTGTGCTCGCCCTTTTCAGAGTTCGCTACCTAGACCCGTAAGGGACAAGAATTGAAGGATATTCTTAGGAGCGATCGTTTTTATCTCCTCAGGATAGAGTGTATACTTTCCAAAGGAGATATTTCGTTTATGCATGAGTGGGCTACAACCACATAGGATGTGTAGCGGCGTTTCCTCTTCAGTTTGGCAGAATCTGCAGATACTTGACGTGCATAGGCCTAGTTTGGCCATATGCTTGTTTAATTTGCAGTGTCCTGTGAGGGCCCTAGTCATCATGCATATGTTGTTTTTACTCAATAGCAGTAGTCTATTGGAGTATTTGGTCGGGCTAATCCTGAAATGGCTGCACCGATTTCGACGGGACTCTTATTGGTAGGTAGCTGATGTAATAAGGAGCAACTTAGGCTACTTTTATTTAAAAAAAATAGCGTTAATTTCCACGCGGACGAAGTCGCGGGTACAGCTAGTTAGTAATAAGATATGATGGGACTGGCATTATCATATTATGATAAAAGTCCCTAAATAAGAAGTAAGAATTAAAAAAAAAGTAGGCATGTGAATTGGCACATGTCTAGTTAGTTCATGTGACAATCAACGTAAAAATGATATAAAGTTATTTCCTGTTAAAAAAGTAAAAGATTTAAGTAATGAATGTATATTTACCGTAACTAAGGTACCGTCTCCATCGTTATTCTTCACCAGGTAATACTTGGTTATCATGCCATTATACAACTCGATCCGAGAACGGTTGGCGGCCTCGTTGTACCTAAAGCCCAATTTACACTCAGCCCGAGTGGGCAGGGAAGTGAGCAGCGCGAGAGTGTAAACATGAGTGGAAACACTTCCCATGCCATTGCGCCGCCACTCGCGCTGCCCGGCGCTCCCTCGATTGTCGGTTTTTCGTGCGCGAGTCAAAGGACTGGCAGCGCGAGTGGCAGCGTGTGTTTACATTCAGCCCTCTCGCTCAGTTAATTCATTACACGTCAGCCATCTTTGCGAGTCGCCCGATAAGTATGAGGGCTGAGTGTAAACGACACTCGCGCTGACGCGGCAATGTTTCCCGCAGCGCGAGTGGCAGGGGAAGCGGCTGAATGTAAAAGTGGCATAACAGTAGCAGAAATATCATCCTTACATAGTGTTCAAAATCTACCCTGTAACATCGTAAGCACAGATTATTATATTAGAGTCCGTTAGTTTGTGTTCCCGCGGTTTCTGTTCCCCTCCCTTACCCAGTACTGAACTGACCGTAGAGCGGCCTTGACGCGCGCGCGCATTGTGTTGTGAATTAAAATAAATTAGAACTGTGTTAAACCTACTGTGAAACTGGAAAGCTAGCGAAGATACCTTCGAGACCCTGAAGCCCAAGAAATCCGCAGAACCATACAGGTACGAGACAGACGTTTCCAAATATTTTCCCTATATATATATACATAGTATTTTCCCTAACATTTTGGTAGCAGAGCGTAGTTTCCCTAACACATAGTATAAAACAAAGTCGCTGTCGCTGTCTGACCCTATGTATGTTTAAATCTTTAAAACTACGCAACGGATTTTGAAGCGGTTTTTTTAATAGATGGAGTGATTCAAGAGGAAGGTTTATATGTATAACTAGCTTATGCCCGCGGCATTGCTCGCGTTAAGAAGTATTATTGTTAATTAGGTATAGTTTTTGCGGCTTTACTTTTGTTCAACGTGTGTAAAAAAGGGCCTACAAAACTTCTTTGTACACAATATTCTTAACTAATCTGACATTAGACGCTAAAACTATCAAGCTATTGACTGAAGTTACTGAGCGAGCAACATAAAACTGTCCATGAGGGAAGTAATGTTTTCTCAAGGCAATACCCGCAAACTTAGCCGTGTCGTATCAAGTGCCCCAACATTTCCCCCACCTATTCTCAATAATATCTATAATCTGTTTATTGTTAGCTTCAATACACAAAGAACACTCAGTTGACTAGTTTGTTACTTACATTTCAAATTTGGAAACATAGTCAGTCACGTAATGTTGGTAACGTCACCAATAGTAATAGAGATAAAGAGGCCGGGAACAAGGAGGGAGCGGGCTGCTCTCTCTCTGTTCGAAGCAACTGAGACGACCAGACGTGAATGTACAGCGACGCAATTTATGTGCAGTGTAATTTGAAAATGGAATAAAATAAAAGTACTGCTGCATCGACGTTACATTTCTGAAACTTCCCAATAATCCATACAAACTACTTACATTTCAAATTTGGAACCATAATAAGTCACGTGATGTTGGTGACGTCACTATAATGGCGCCACCAATAGTAATAGATATAAAGAGGCCGGGAACAAGGAGGGAGCGCGCTGCTCTCTGTCTGTTCGAGGCATCGGTTGCCTCGAACAGACAGAGACAGACGACCAGACGTGAATGTACAGCGACGCAATTTATGTGGAGTGTAATTTGAAAATGGAATAAAATAAAAGTACTGCTGTATCGACGTATCATTTCTGAAACTTCCCAATACTATGCTATAAGCAATTATAATATTAAAACTTATATGACTACCATATCTCAAAAGGCTCCACTAAATCATGGAATATGTCGATTATTTCCCCTTTGAAATGGTATTTTGACGGCAATCTCAGCCCGTCCAGCAGGTCCTCGTTGTCTGCATCTGTTGTACAATTGAATATAATTATAATAAAACCAGCTATTCCCGCGACTTCGTCCGCGTGGAATTTAACTTTATTTTTCTAAAATAAAAGTAGCCTAAAGAACTGAAAATTTTTTGTTCGTCTTAATTTATTCGTTCCATTAGGTACTGATAGGTTCAAACTAACACATTTACATCCTGCATCATCCCATATTTTATCCCCATGGGGGTTAAATTTATCAAAATCCTATTTAAGCGAAGGTCTTCATCATAGTAGCTCCAATCTTTAATTTTAGTTCAATCAGTCGAAAATCTAAGAAGATTTATACAAATTTTCGTCCCCTATTTTATCCCCTTAGGAGTGAAATTTATCAAAATCCTTTCTTAGCGGGTGCCTACGTCATAACATCTACCTGCATGCCAAATTTCAGCCCGATCCGTCCAGTGGTTTGGGCTGTGCGTTGAGATCACCATGTCAGTCAGTCAGTCAGTCAATTATATATATTTAGATGTTGCATTCTTTCATTCACCTGTACATATAAATAAAATTGGAGAGAAAGAAAACGAAAACAAAAAAGAAATTGTTTGTAATATTGAAATAACCGTTTTTTACTACATATGAATATAAACACGGTACATACACCAAAATAATTTTTTTACAATTTTTGTCTGTCTCCCGGTTTGTTCCAGCTAACCTCTGAAACGGCTGGACCGATTTTGACGGGACATTTATTGGCAGGTAGCTGATGTAATAAAGAGTAACTTAGGCTACCTTTATTTTAGAAAATTTAATTTAATTCCACGCGGACGAAGTCGCGTGTACAGTCCAAAATAAGCAAAATAAAAACTGGCCGAGCCTTTCCATACTGCTTCTAAGAGCACTCACTCACCTAAAATGAAATATCCCGAACTGATTTTTAATATTGTGATATAAAAAAATATTTTATCAATTAACTGCACCATATTGAAATAGTGATCGTATCAGTAAACACGATTAATGACTGAACTTTTATTGTATCACATTGTAATCTCACATTGCTCATTACAGGGGCTCAATATTGTTATCATTTCCCTGTAAGTAACACTAGCTACCCGCCCTGTCTCTGCTTGCGTACAATACTCATAGTCTCTATAAACTTGTTGTCCCTAAGTATCGTTTAGAAAAAGTCAATAGGTCGTTTATATACTGGAATTACCCTTAAATAAATTCAAAACGTCTGTTAAATAATATTTACTGAACAAAGCCTATTATATTATAAATGTGTTTGTTACGCTTTCACGCAAAAACTACTGAACCGATCATCATGAAATTTTGTACACACGTTCTTGGAGGTATTAGAATGAACGTAGGATACTTTATATTAAAAAAAATAAATAAACAAATCAATGATAAACAAAAAACAAAATATCAACGTTTTGCTACTTCAGCGCTATGTCAGTAGCAGTCAGTAATGAAGTTTTGCGAGCGAACCCGTGGGAAAAAGCTAGTATGTATATAATAAAACAGTAAAATTATGACAAGACGACAATCGTCTGCTTGTCTGTCTGTTTAACTGTCAATATTTAATATTCACTCTTTTATAAAATTTCACCTTTTTATCAAGGTATGGTTTTTGTTCCGTGTAGTGTCGAGGGATACAACTAGTATTTGATATAGGAGAATAATACAACAAAAAACATTTTTGAGATAAACAACACCGGTTTTGTGTCGTAATTAATAGGCTATGTTATTAAAAAAAAACTGTAAATCGCGATAATATTCATATAATTACAATAATTAATGAAAAAACGTATATACTATGACAAGTTAACGGTAAAATTAACCTGCAGTTACTTATTACGGTATACAAAATATGATTTTATATATAACTAGCTGTACCAGCGACTTCGTTCGCGTGGAAATTATTTATTTATTTATTTATTAAAACTTTAATGCACATAATTGAAAGTACATATGGCGGACTTAACACCATGCGGCATTATCTACCAGTCAACCATGGGTGGTGCAGAGAATAATTGTTGGCGGTGCAAATATAAAAAATATATTAAACGATACACATAAAAATATATATGAATAAATAACATATATATACTTACATAAACCATACATAAATACATATTTAATAATCTGACAATGAAATATCATGTACTGCCACAAATAATGGAATTAAAAAAAATATATATATTTATCTAAAAATAAAAAGCACAATGAGAAAACAGGAAAGGAAAGGTTCAAGTTTAAATAAGTAATTTACGTTTGAAAGTTACAAAGTGTGATTGCCTGAATGGCGAAAGAATAATGGACGAAACCAGACAAAATTATCTTTATTTTTCTAGAATAAAAGAATTCTAATAATAATAATAATAATAATCTAATAACAATTCACACAGCGCCATCTAGACCCGAGTTAAGCTATCTAAAGCTTGTGTTACGGGTACTAGATAACTGATACAAGTACATAGTTTTTTTTTTTCGTAAATACATACATAATATAAATAGAAAATACCCAGACCGATACAAACAATCATACTCATGAATACAAATGTTTGTGCCGTTTTGGCTAGACCGCTAGACCACCGAGGTCGTCATTCTCTTCAATTCTAAAGCCTAAGTTACTGTCCAGAGCAGTGAGTATGTATATGTTCTGTTTATACTATATCATATTGCGTGTCGAGGTTCTCTCAAGAGAACTACAGCATGGGGTTTTTCAAGAAGGGTATATTAAGGTTTCTCAAGGGTCGGCAACGCGTGGCACCCCTGGTGTTTCAGGCGTGCATAGGCTACGGTAACCGTTTACCGTCAGATGGGCCGTATGCTTGGTAAACATCGTTGTTTAAAAATATGGTAACGCATTATTGGTATCACGGGTGTTATGAGATATCATAATATCCGTGATGATGTTCGTGTGTAAGAAGCACTAATTATGATGGACGACTGAGGCTTTGAAGCCGGCTACCGCAAGGGAAACCCCAAGTAGCGCCCGTGACTTGTGACACGGGTGTAGGTTTAAAAGGCCCTTTTAGAATGCATTAACACTCACCTTCACTACTTGCAGCTACCCCCCAGGCCCAACTAAGACCTGGATAAACCCATTTCTAATACAATTCACTTTAGTATCCAAAACACAACTGGTACGCTCTGCGCTCGTCGACTGAATGCCGCGGCTCACGCAACGAAAGAGGATTATTCAACTACCGACCTCCGTATTTATAGACCAAAGTCAGTGTAGTAGGTTGGTCTATAAATACTAGATGGCGCTATTTACAATATTCGTAATAATACTTACATTGGGTACTTCATTAGTACTAAAAACAAACTACCTTCTTTTAATATATTTTTAAAGTATCGGATTTTTTCTACAATAATGATGTGAATTCTAACACGTGTATAGGCGACGGATACCGGTTACAAATTCAAAATATCTTTATTCATGTAGGTCCATTACATACTTATGATATGTCAAATCTACCGTCAGTTCGGAGTGATTTCGAGATGAGAAGAACTGACGAGAAACTCAGCTCGTATTCTTTTCATATGATCTTATATGCCTAATGCCTTCCCGTCTAAATCTAAATTCTAAGTCCCGTCAAAATCAGTTCAGCCATTTCAGAGATTAGCCGAAACAAACAGACAGACGGACAAAAATCGTAAAAAATGTTATTTTAGTACCGTATTTATATTCATATGCATGTAGTAAAAAACGGTTATTTCAATATTACAAACAGACACTCCAAGTTTATTTATATGTATAGATTATTAAATAAAATAAGTTATGTACGTGGAATATATTTCAATACAATTAGGTACAGTTTATTTTTTTATATGATGACGTAGTAAGGGTAGTCTAGTATGGAGCAATTGTCATCTGCAGCCGCCATCAGGATGTACCCCCCCTCGCCCCAGTCGTCCCCCCACGAGTTGCGCACGATCCAGTACTGCTGGCCGTCGCGAACACCATACCCCACCACCGTCACACCATGGTTCGCTTCCATACCGGCGCTGTGAACAAACATCCGTAAAATCTGATGAAATAGAAATAGAAATAATCTTCATTCAAATAAACTCATTACAAGCACTTTTGAATAGTCATATTTTGATTCTACCGCTCATTCGAAATGCAGATTCATCACAAGAAGAATGAGCAAGAAACTTGTGTGTTGCTCTTTTTAATAGATGTTGTTTTATATAAATAATTACAGTATATCAAGTAAGAGGCATGCGATAATCAACATAGAAATCGCTACGCACTCATTATTAGTGTAATCAGATAATATTGTCAGATATAAAGTTTTTCTATAATGACGATGATGATGCTTCATGTTCCTTAGGCGTTTGATAGGTGGCACCAACGATGTGATTTACCAATATTTCGACAACCTCGTTGGTTTAGTGGTAGCACACCGCCGTACTTCCTATGGTCGTGGGTTCTAATGTATCCATGTATTTATATCAGTTGTCTAGTACCCACAACACAAGCTCTGCCTAGCTTGGGACTAGATGGCGCTGTGTGAATTGTCTAGTGATATTATTATTATTTCATGTAAAACCAACTCAATTAATGTGTCTATGGAGTATACTGAGGTGAGGCGAGGATTATAAAAACTCGTCTGCGTCTTGGATCAAAAAAATTTCTTTCATTTCATTTCAAACTCTTAATTTTCGTTAAAAGTGGTCCGCAGTTTATGCTTCACGATCAATCCCCCGTCCAATTCAAACGGGGATCGAAATTACGAGCCGAGGTTCGAACCCCTAGCGGTGCCCTCAGACTAAAGTCGTATCCATCAGGCAGGAGTTATCCTTCAGCCGCTCCATAAGTCCTTCCTTTGGTTTGGAGTGCCATCTGCATTCGCCCGCTATCGTTCGGTGAAGCTGTAAAGGCCAGCTGTGTAAACAGCGTTAGAGTAGTAAAAAAACCAAAAGAAGGACCATTGGGGATCGTAGTAAATTCCATTGGAGTACTCCTTCATGTTCATGTTGGCGTGGATGGCCACTGCCACCGGCCCGTACTGGTGTAGCGCCACTCGCAACGAGTTGGCACTTCTTATGGGCACTTGAGAGAAACCAGAGATCTTGTGTACCGTTGATACGTTCAGCAGCTGGCAGTAGCCCACCTGACGAAATTAAAAAATATACAATTAGAATTACTATTTAGTACAATTATGCTAACTAGTACCAAGTGGTCAGTGCTATTGTGCACACAATTGTAATATTTCTGCCGACACTTGAGATCCTTCCATTAGTTTACATCTCCACAAATAGAGATTTAAGTTAAGTGTAAAACAATCAATATGTATATATCAGTTATCTAGTACCCATAACACAAGCTTCAGCTAGCTTAACTTGGGTCTAGATGACGCTGTGTGAATTGTCCTGAGATTATTATTATTATTATTAATAATAATACATTTTATGGCTTTAATAAAACCCAAATCACTAAACCTTGTTCATCATCATCATCATCTGCTTCTTCCTTATCCCATTTATTTATGGTCGTCTTAATATGTGTTTCTCTTCCATTCATCTCTGATCGCAGTCATCTCGTTATTCACTCCCTTTCTTATCATATCATCTTTCACACAGTCCATCCATCTGTTTTTCGGTCTTCCTCTGTCCTTATAACCATCCACAATCATATGTAACACCTTCCTTAAAACATTATCCTCATTCCTACGCATTACATGTCCATACCATGATAGGCGATTACTCTTTAACCTTTCCGACACCAGCGCCATGTTCATACTTCTTCTAATGTTTTATTTTATACCACGCAGGTGGCAGACAAGTATACGGCCCATCTGATGGTAAATGGTTACCGTAGCCTATGGACGTCTTAAAAACCAGGGGTGTCACATGAGCGTTGCCAACCCTTACTATGTATAAGTAAGGAGCCAACAGAATATCAGCGCTGCAGAGTTATCTGTAGCATTATGTTGAGTAGTCACATACATTTCTTTTATTAATTCGTGTTTTTTCTGTATCTCATGTATGTTATGTGTCTGTAATTGTGAATAAAGAATTTATCTATCTAATGTGTTCATTAAATCATTCATCCCTTACACTTGGTTATTTCTCCAATAATATCCGTGTACCTGTTCAATGTATGCTCCGTATTCTTCGGTCGTCGGTATGCCATACTCCACGACATATTTGAGGGCAGCGTCCAACAAACCACCGTCGCAGCCCATGTTACCGTATCTGGGGAAGCCAATATTAAACAATTTTATTTCGGACTACTCTGATGCTGCTGGCCATAACTGGCCTTTACAGCTTCACCGGACGATAGGAGGCGAGTGTAGTTGGCACTCAAACCAAAGGAAGGACTTATGGAGCAGCTGAAGGACAACACCCACCTGATGGATATGACTTTAGTCTGAGGGCACCGCTAGAGGTTCAAACCTCAATTAGTCGTCATTTCGATCCCCGTTTGAATTGGACAGTGAGTCGATCGGAGGGTTTATGAGAACTTTCGCGTTTATAATATTGTAGTATTCGTATGTACTAGCTGTTGCCATTGACTTTGTCTGCGTTTTCGTCGTGTTTCGTAAAATAAGTAGCCCATGTCCTTACTCACGGTTCAGTGGTTTTTGATGTATTTTCCTAACATTTCCCTTCACTGCTCTGCTCCTATTGTACGCAGCGTGATGAAAGTATACTATAACCTGCCCCAATGTATAAAGAATAATAGTACCAAGTTTCATTAAAATCCGTCGAGTAGTTTTTGTTTCTATAACGAACATACAGGCAGACAGACAAACATTTTACTAATTGCATTTTCGGCATCAGTATCGATCACTAATCACCCCCTGAAAGTTATTTAGGAAATATATTTCACTAGCTTTTGGCCGCGGCTTCGCTCGCGTTAATTTATCCTCTTAGGGGTAGAATTCATCAAAATCTTTATGTATACCTATGTCATAGTAACTTTATGCATGCAAAGTCCCAGCCCGATCGGTTTGAAATTGACAAAGTTTCATACAAACTTTCATCCCCTATTATAAGCCCATGGGGGTTTAATTTAATCAAAATCCTTTCTTAGCGGATGCCTACGTCATAACATCTACCTGCATGCAAATTTCAGCCCGATCCGTCCAGTGGTTTGGGCTGTGCGTTGATATATCACTATGTCAGTCACCTTTGAGTCTTGAGACCTCTACAGATTTATTATAAGTATAGATAAAAGGACGTACCCCCAAGCACAGTCGACAAGTGATTGCTCACTTAAATCGAAGCGTGTACCTCCGAGAGCTTTGGCTATAGCACCTTCAACAGCTGCCGTCGTTGAAAACGACCAACAAGAGCCACAGTTACCTTGGGCTGGAAATAAAATAATATATATGTTTCCAATGTATGCTTTTCTTCCAATGGTCGCGGGATCGATTCTTCGCATGGCACAAACATTTGTATTCATGAGTATGATTGTTTGTATCGGTCTGGGTGTTTTCTATGTATAATATGTATGTATTTGCAAAAAAAAAATATCTATGTATATGTATCAGTTATCTAGTACCCATAACACAGGCTCTAGCTAGCTTAACTTGGGTCTAGATGGCTCTGTGTGAATTGTCCTGAGATTATTATTATTATTATTATTATGTATTTAAAAAAAAAACATTATATCTGTTGTCCAGTACCCATAACGCAAGCTCTACTTAGCTTTGGACTAGATGGCGCTGTGTGAATTGTCATGATGTACATGCAATATAAATACGGTACATATACCAAAAAACCACTTTTTACGATTTTTGTCTGTCTGTCTGTCGGTCTGTTTGTTCCGGCTAATCTCTGAAATGGCTGGACCGATTTTGGCGGGACTTTTATTGGCAGGTAACTGATATAATGAGTAACTTAGGCTTACTTTAATTTTAGAAAAATAAAGTTAAATTCCACGCGGAATGAAGTCGCGGATACAGCTAGATATACATATAATCCTTCCTCTTGAATCACTCTATTAAAAAAAACGCTTTAAAATCCATTGCGTAGTTTTAAAGATTTAAGCATATATAGATACGAACAGACAGCGACAGCAACAGCGACTTTGTTTTATACTTACTATGTAATGCTTACACTAGTTTTGAAAATTTAACTTTATGTCTGTTGCCATGAATTTTTTGGATGGTAATGTTCACTTATGACTTGTGTCATATTTACTCTAAAAATTTTTTGAGCGGGTTGAGTTTCTTAGTTGTTGATTTTTGTCAATCAAGCATATATTTCAATCAATAACTTAATTTTTTATTGTGTTAAGATTATTATCTAAAGTATTTCCATCATGAATAGTTCAAGGAGACGTTTGAACAATCCAGATATTTTTTTATAGATATATGGAGAATATGTGTTCAAAGATTGTAGAAAAGTTATATCAGAGTTTCTCAAATATAACTATTTTGAGTATATTGGGATGCTCTTGAATAAAAATGAGAGGTCTTAGGCTCTCAATTGTTGATTGCAAATTTATGTAGACTTGAAAATAGTGAACATACTTCACGGTCAGTATAGTGGTTACACTAATTTCCCTGTTTTATGTCTTTGGGACGGTAGACCTAAACAAGAGTATTGGGTAAGAAGAAACTTGAGATAAAATATGGAGCCTGGAAAGCAAAATATAGTCCAGAATTCATTAGCAGCTCGTAACAAAGCTAGCTTCTGACATTACATATAAAACTGGACATCATGAAACAGTTTGTTAAATCATACTACATAAAAACAAGCAAGCAACAAAGCAAAGTTTCCTCAGCTCACTATGGATGAGATTAAAGCCGGCATTTTTGATGGTCCTTAAATTAGACAACTTACAGAAGGTACTCAATTTAGAAATTTCTAAATTTCCTAGAAAAAATGTATCCATCTATTTATATAAGTTGTCTAGTACTCATAACATAAGATCTGCTTAGCTTCGGACTAGATGGCGCTCTGTGAATTGTCCTGAGATATTATTAGATATTTATTCTATTCTATTCTATTCTCTAGTACAAGGTACAACACTCACATTTAATTGTCCTGAGATATTATTAGATATTTACTATATTCTATTCTATTCTCTAAAATGTTCAACACTCACATTTAATTGTCCTGAGATATTATTATATATTCTATTCTATTCTCTAGTACAAGGTTCAACACTCACATTTAATTGTCCTGAGATATTATTAGATATTTATTCTATTCTATTCTATTCTCTAGTACAAGGTACAACACTCACATTTAATTGTCCTGAGATATTATTAGATATTTATTCTATTCTATTCTATTCTCTAGTACAAGGTACAACACTCACATTTAATTGTCCTGAGATATTATTAGATATTTACTATATTCTATTCTATTCTCTAGTACAAGGTTCAACACTCACATTTAATTGTCCTGAGATATTATTAGATATTTACTATATTCTATTCTATTCTCTAGTACAAGGTTCAACACTCACATTTAATTGGTGTGAGCAGCCCCTCCAATCTTAAGTCCAACTCCTTCGGCAGCTGTTCAGCCAGGGAGTCCACTTGTTCCGAACTATATGGAAACGTGTGTGTGGCTTCAAGTTTTGCACGCGGAGCTTTAGTTCCTGTTAAGTACTGGAGTTCTTCATTGGTGCGGTCCGAGAATTTGTTGATCTCCATTTTGTAGCTCAGATTTTTCATATTATGTTCTTTGATGTGTCTAAAACATTAGAATTACTCCTTACAATGCTATTTCTAAATATTTCAGGAATATATGATTTTTGCAGACCATCTATACATATAAATAAAATTGGAGTGTCTGTTTGTAATATTGAAATAACCGTTTCTTACTGCAAGCATATGCAGCATAAGCATATAATATAAATACGGTACATACACCAAAATAATATTTCCACAATTTTTGTTTGTCTGTCTGTCTGTTTGTTCCGGCTAATCTCTGAAATAGTTGGGCCGATTTTGACGGGACTTTTTTTGGCAGGTAGCTGATGTAGAAATCAGTAGCATATACTACATTTATTTTAGAAAATTCCACGCGGACCAAGTCGCGGGAACAGCTAGTTTTGAATATAAATTCAGAATATAAAACGACGACCTCGGTGATCTAGCGGTGGTACACCGCTTTACGTCCGATGGTCGCGGGTTCGATTCCTCGCACGGCACAAATATTTGTATTCATGAGTATGATTGTGTGTATCGGTCTGGGTGTTTTCTATGTATAATATACGTATATATATATATGTATTTACGAAAAAAAATTACCTATGTACTTGTATCAGTTATCTAGTACCCATAACACAAGCTTTAGATAGCTTAACTTGAGACTAGATGTCGCTGTGTGAATTGTCCTGAGATTATTATTATTATTATATATATGTTTTATATATAATAATAACGACAGAAATTTCCGTACAATACGGTATGTGTTGAGAATGACGGCTTTTTGTAATATGTCTATTGTAGAGGAGGGGATCTGCAACGGGTCTACGTGTTTGATAAGACTTCTTGGCATAATTCTTGTGGATGACAAAACTATGGGTACTATGTGGGTGATTATTGTTATTATTATTATTATAAAACACATTTCTTATTAGTCATTTACAACAGTTTAGCTTAAATATACAAACCTCCAGTTATCTAAGAAGATATCCTTCCTGAAGACATGTTCATTTTTCGTGTACGCCTTTTTATGATGCTTCACATAGCTGGAAATGAAATAAAGAACATTGTGTAACGATGTTATAAATTAAAAAATGATAATTCCATTTCATACGGAGCTGAGACGATAAAAGACTAACAGATTTTGTTTTGTTTTACTAAATGTCCGAACTCGAACTCGAACTCAGTTAGATTTATGAAGTACTATTTGTGTCTTATTACTTCGTTTGCCCTTTTTACATATATGATAGTTTTTTTTTCTCTTTATTTTGGCAACAAACAGTCGTTATAAAAACATATAAATATACAAATAAAAGTAATTTTTACGATAGACATTGAGTGCCGAAAATTTTTTACTTAATTTTTTTTTAAGTGAGCCTAGTGGACTAAAATAAAAACAAAACAATACAAATACGAAGAAAATGAATAAGAAAAATGAGTATGAATAAGAAATAAGAGTATTACAATACAAACATTATAATAATTATAATAACAAAAATAAAAATAAAAAGGGGGTTACTTTTGTATTTCGAAAAGTTTCTTTCTGTATGTAACTAAGGTGCAACAAAACGGATCCAATTCAACAAACTTTGTGTTATACATATTGACGGAACGGGATATCTAGACACGCGGTAGCGTGTCAAGCCGAGTTTCAAGTAAACTGGGAAGCAGCACCGTGTGTATATTAATATACACACATAACTCAAAAACTCTTTCACACAAACCTGTCAAATTTGGTTCATATATTGAGACTTGCGAGATAAATATGTGTTCCAAATTTCATAAACATATCTCAAACGGTTATTTAGATATTAATGTCCAAAAATCGTCATTTTTATCACTGATCAACTATAGATCAAAATTATAACCCACTTCCAGATGACCTAGGAAGTTCAAATTTGGCATGCAGATAGGTAATTAGGTGAATATAAAGGAAAAAATCTGAAACTAGTAAATTGTTATCATTTTACTACAATTTTTCACTTTAATTGATTCTATTTCAACTTATACTGGACGAATACTAAAATTCTATGAAAACGTCGATAGCCACCAATTGACATTGATCCCTGGCGAAATATCTCATCTTGTACTGGACGGAAAGTAATATTGTATGAAAACGTCGATCATTACCAATTTACGTTGACCCCTTCACATCAGTGTCGATAACTAGCAAACTTCAAATATTGCATTGAGCGGTAAACACTAGTTGCTATAATTTAGATTCTGTCTAAAATATACTCGTACTTATAACTAGGAGTATAGTCGAATTTCGTATTTATTATGTTATTAACTGAGATTTGGTATTAATTATTGTTGCAATATTTAGCGCACATCGATAGTGTAAGATCATTAATTTTATAAATAATTATTAAATAATAGGCATATCGGTATAGGGCGCCGCGGCGCCGTGTGGGAGCGGTGCGATAAAACGTTGAACTAACCTATAAGGTTGGTATTTATGCAACGAAATTCATAGTTTTCTTAAATTATACTTATATATTTGTGATTATATTATTATTACATTATTTTAGTAAATACGTATGGTATAGACAATAGTTTAAACCAAAAATTAATAATAATTTTAGTACAGTTATAAGTAGGAATGTATAGTTAACTCGAGAATGAGAACTTATTGGTAACAAATTGTTTTCTTGAGAATTCAATAGATAACAGTCAATTTGTTACATAATCGTCTTTATGAACTATAACGTGTCAATACGAAGTTTCAGATATTAAATAATGTATATGTTGAAAGAGAACAATTCCGTATTTGCTTAACATATGCTATTACTCTCCACAAATCACAAGGCCTTAGTTTTGGCAGTCCTCTTCTCAACATGGGCTCCTCTATATTTAATAAAGGGCAGGTTTACGTTGGACTCTCCAGAGTTAAAACCTTAGATGGAGTACGTCTTAACAATTTAGATCCAAGTCACGAGAGCTCTATTGCAGAGTACAACCATCTGTGGACGTTATACCGCTCCGATTTGCCCAAAAATTCCTGATACTGAATTGGCATTGCACTTGAACATTTAAAAGTTACAAGAAAATATAGAAAATAACACAAAAAAAAAAAGACAATTATACCCCGTAAATATACGAAAATACAGTAATTTATCAAAAATAATTTGGTATTAATTTAGTTATAAATAAGTACCTCGTATAATTTATGTACAAAAAGTAATGATATCCCATCAAAAACATAAATGTGAAATGATAGCCGAGTTTAATATTATGATATATGCCTTGATTGTTGACTTCTACGACAAAAGAGATGAGATCTAAATGGGTGCAAAGTTCAATGGTCTGTCCTGAAATGTATTTATAACAATATAAAATATCATTTCTTCTTATAACTTAGGATAATATACTGTAGCCTAAGGTCTAACTTGGCTAGTTTTCATATACGAAATATACTGTAGCCTTCGCAAGTTCTAAACATGTTACTTGTCGGTTCCTATTTTATTATTAGTAGTAACTAGCAATCGAAAGTAATAATTGGTATATGAGAACTGGCCAAGTTAGAACTTAGGCTACAGTATATTATCCTAAGTTATAAGAAGAAATGATATTTTATATTGTTATAAATACATTTCAGGACAGACCATTGAACTTGGCACCCATTTAGATCTCATCTCTTTTGTCGTAGAAGTCAACAATCAAGGCATATATCATAATATTAAACTCGGCTATCATTTCACATTTATGTTTTTGATGGGATATAGCAATTACTGGTGTAGTTCTTTTTAAACCGTGGTGGTACCAACATGTTACTGGAGCGTCGAGAGAGGCGTGCAGGTCTACGAATTTGTGCGTTAAAATTTATGGATGACAGGAGAAGGGGAGAATCAATTTGACCATTCAACAATTTATATAAGAAAACCTAGTGTGATAGTGCTAAATATCCCACGATTTAAATAAAAATAATTTTCCCTAAGACTGTATTAAGAGTTTATAATACCAACTAGCTTTCGCCCGCGGCTTCACTCGCGTTAATTTATTCCCTTAGGGGTGGAGTTTATCAAAATCCTTTCTTAGGGGATGCCTACGTTATAGTAGCTTTATACATGCAAAATCTCAGTCCGATCGGTTTAAAATTGACAAAGTTTCATACAAACTTTCATCCCCTATTTTATCCCTTTGGGGGTAGATTAATCAAAATCCTTAGTGGATGCCTACGTCATAACATCTACCTGCATGCCAAATTTCAGCCCGATCCGTTCAGTGGTTTGAGCTGTGCGTTGATAGATCACTATGTCAGTCAGTTGAGTTATATATATTTAGACAATAATAGTTTAGTAGAAAATTGGAAAATTCTTCAATAGTTTATTTTGCGTACTTCTGCCACTGAGACCAAATTCAAAATATCTTTATTCATATAGGTCTATTACAGACTTATGATATGTCAAATCTAGCGTCAGTTCGGAATGATTTCGAGATGAGAAGAACTGACGAGAAACTCAGCTCGTATTCTTTTCAAATATTATTGATCCTGTACTATTATAAAAAATTTCTAAATCTACACGTGAGTTTGATTATCGTTTAGAGATATAAATACATGTAATAATGTTATGGTTAGTTACCTTGTGAATGCGAAGTTAATATGTGCCGGTATGCCAGGCTGCAGTGTGTTGAGATGATTCTTTAGATTTTTACCGAGTTTTACGACATCCTCGCATACAGTCTCTGCAACAGAACATGACGTAACAAAGGCATTAAAATTATTTATAAGAAATCTTCAAATAGCCAATGTCAATATAAACATAGTTAAACCAAAACTTAATATATATATATATATATATATCTTAATTATACGTACATACATAGTGTTTAGTTATTTATATAATATTAGCAATGCCTGCGACTTCGTCCGCGTGGAATATATTTAGCTCCTCGCCCCGACTTCGCCCAGGTGTACATGTATTACATAAAGGAATTGATTAAAGTATATAAAAGTTTATATAGAAATTTGTAATTTTTGAAGCTAGAACGATGATGACTTTTTTCGTCGTATTTTCGGGTTACATTATCATTATTACCATTACATAGTATAAAACAAAGTCGCTGTCGCTGTCTGTCCGTCCTATGTATGCTTAAATCTTTAAAACTACGCAACGGATTTTGAAGCGGTTTTTTTAATAGATAGAGATATTCAAGAGGAAGATTTATATACATAATACATGTACACCCGCGCGAAGCCGGGACGGGTCGGTTAAAGAATCAAAAAGAAAAGTTCTAAACTTGGATAATAACTTGAATGTTAATATAGTCTATGGTAGATCATTAAAATACCTAATTCTCAGTTTATTGAGATTTGAGCAAAACAAGCCTAACCTTAAATGCCGGTTGGTAAAAGGCGACACTGGTACTGTGCGGGTCATTGAACACGAGCTCTATGTAAGTCAATGAAGGATACGATTCGCCTAACAGAAACCGACTGCCCATTGCACACGACACATTGCAACACCACACACTTCCGTCCGGTAACCAGCAGTTACAGAAATAGATGGGACGCACGAATATGATATAGTATAAAATGTACTCCACTAAACAACTTGCTATTTGATAGGCCTTCATTAATGATATGTGGTAATGACCACCACCCGCCAGAAACTAAAATACCATCCTGATCATCTAGATGAAAGTAAATCAATATTTGTTTAAAAGAGCAACACACAAGTTTCTTGCTCATTCTTCTTGTGATGAGTCTGCATTCCGAATGAGCGGTAGAATCAAAAAACTGTACTATTCAAAAGTGCTTATATTAAGTTTATTTGAATACAGATTATTTCTATTTCTATTTCTAAATGGCGGTCCTCCACAGTGCGGTTCTATAGAAACTTTGCCACTCACAACCACATTGTGGAATCACCTTCCAGCAATGGTATTTCCGAACCGATACGATATTGAAACCTTCAAGAAAAGAGCTTATTCCTTTTTAAAAGGCCGACAACGTACTGGCAATTTCCTTGGTGTAGCTCATGGGCGGCGGGAATCACTTACCATCAGGTGAGACGCATGCTCGTATGTCCGCTGTGTTATAAAAAAATGAAGAGATATAACATGTTGATCCTTAGGACCGATAATGAATTTAATGTCGCCACAATTTTACCAGACTAAAACTCGTCTGCGTGCTGATCTCAACCTTAAGTATTTTTCCTGATAAGCAGTTTGCTTTTTAATTTATATTTTAGTTGTAGTGTGAAGATTAGGCTGTGGTTGATTACAGTATAAGAGGCTGAGGAATCCTAGTTCTCTGGAATCAAAAGATCTGGAGAATACGTGAGTGGTATCATTGATGTACCATGATAACGTAATGTCCCTAGTGTACATAGGCCACGGTTACCATTTACCATCACGAGGTCGTTATCTTGTTTGCTATTACATAAATAACAAAATCTCTACAATACACACATAAAAAACACACAATATCTGCCCGCGAACAACTTCGTATAAAGTCTCCAATTTTTTTCCGGACTACGGCCAGCTGGCCTTTACAGCTTTACCGGACGTAAATAATAATAATAATAATAATAAGAATCTCAGGACAATTCACACAGCGCCATCTAGACCCAAACTAAGCTAACTAAAGCTTGTGTTATGGGTACTAGACAACTGATACATATGCATATATATTTTTTTTTTAAATACATACATATTATACATAGAAAACACCCAAACCGATACAAACAATCATACTCATGAATACAATTGTTTGTGCCGTGCGAAGAATCGAACCCGCGACCATCGGTCGTAAAGCGGTGTACTAGACCGCTAGACCACCGAGGTCGCCGGTAAATATATAGAGGGCGAGTGCAGATGGCACTCCAAACCAAAGGAAGGATTTATGGAACGGCAGAAAGACAACCGCCTGACGGATACGACTTTAGTCTGAGGGCACCTCTAGGGGTTCGAACCCCGGCTCAGGCCGTCGGGATATCGATCCCCGTTTGAATTGGACGTGGGAGTGTCCGGAGGGTCTAGTCTCTAGATGGTTTCTTACCATTATTAATTCTAAACTCCTCCAGTGACACGGTCGAGTTGAAGCCGTAAAAATTCTTGATGCTGTGTTTAGTCACGCGTCCAGTCCAACTCTCAGATATTTTTCTTTCGTAACTAAAAACAAAGTAGAAAAAGATTTTCATAAAACTTTGCACGATGGAATAGTCTTTTTAGAATTTTGGTTTAGTTAAAAGTCTGTATTCGTCTCAATTTAAGTATATTATTATAATAAGTTAACCAAAGTTATTAGAGAATTGACATCTCATACATTATTTAAAGGTATATTTGACAAAAATGCAATAGAAATAGAAATTGAAATAATCTTTATTCAAATAAACTCATTACAAGCACTTTTGAAGTCATATTTTGATTCTACCACTCATTCGGAATGCAGATTCATCTCAAGAATGATCAAGAAACTTATGTGTTTCTCTTTTGAATAGATTTTTTTATATATAATAATTACAGTATAACAAGTAAGAGGCATGCGATAATCAACATAGAAATCGCTATGCACTCATTATTAGTGTAATCAGATAATATTGTCAGTGCTATGGATTTTAAGTTTTTCTATAAAAACATTATTATCGTTAACGAATTCTTCAATTTTATAGTAAGCTTTTTTGCAAAGGAAATATTTTATATGACATTTAAATCTTTTATCAGGCAGATTTATAACTCTCTCTCTCTGGTAATATGTTGGTGATTTGTTCTGAAACCTTACGCACCTTATGAATCATATTTGTCAAAAATGAATGCCTTGTTATAATTTACACTAGAATTACAATTCTAAAGATAAAAATCTGTATATCTCTGAATAGAGTATAATAATTTTCCAAAAGAATTTAGAAATCTTGACTTTTCCTACATTATTTAAACGTAGACTTAATTATTGCTGTTGCTCAATAATTTCTACAGTAATCAAGCTGTTTAACAAATTTGAATGCCCTGTTATAATTTGCATGCCTGTTATAGTAAATATTCCTTACCATCCTTACCATAGTTTATAGTAAGCCCGTATATGGCAGATAAGCACTAATACTGTTACACGTGTTTCCCTTTTACATATCGTTCAGCTGTTAGTTTTAGCTAACATTTTTTTTAATTTTTGTGGCCAAACAACAGCAAATAATGACAAAATGAAGAGGACCTGTTTTATGCAGAATTTTTTTCTCTACAACTTTTGTTTAAAACATTTTTTCATATTTCTCACCGTTATCGAGTTATTAAGAAAAAAATTGTTTTTCGATCCTTTTTTTATTTCTTCATACCTTTCCCGTCGACTTATATCAAAATTTCTTTCTGAATATTATTATTCATGTATTCGCGGACCTATTTTTATATATTGCGCCAAAATTGGTCACATCATGTTTAATTTTAAATTTTACTGGACTTACTGTACCAATATTTCGTAAATAAACAATTTTACTTCATTTTCATTTCCAAAGAAATCGTAACTAAATCACAACGTCTATTTCAGGGTCTACTATTGTTGTCGATCTGACAACCTAAAAACAATTGTAATATTGAAGATATTTTGAAAAATGAAATCAATTTTGTTAGTAATGCTTTCGATTGATTTGAGTTTTAGTTTAGGGTCCTAAAAACTGAAATAAAATTCCAATTAGTAATGCCACAGATAACAATGTGTATTAAAGAATTATTATTATCGTGTAATGGTTTCGATAGACTTGATTTTTAGTTTAGGGTCCTAAAAACCAGGCACCACCCCACAACCAGGCCCCTGGAGGCGCGCGCGTGTACCTACGCGCCTCCACGAGAAGGTAGGGTGCAAGCCATAGCACCCTAACCAGAGAGAGGGGGCCTGTCCTACAACATCTACAGGACAGGCCAAGCCGCCGAAGTCTGGGTTGAGCGCCAAGTGCGAACCCCGGACTTCGGCCCGCGGCACCTCGAGGTATACCGTGTGGTTTTTTAGTGGGTACGAGTCCCACACACCACCTCGCCATCCCTCCGGCGGGGTGACGGTCTTGTTGAAGATTTTTCCACACGATAAAAAAATAAAAAAGGGTCCTAAAAACCAACCTTATGGGTACGTCTTGTCCGTCCGAAGTCCTGTACGTCAGTAGTGTCTCCTCTACTCGACCGCCGGCTACGCCCGCCACACTGTCACCACTGTACCAGATTTGCACCTTCCTACCATTGTACTCCGTTTCACCTGATGAAGACAAAAATATTAATTTTGGACGAATATTCGTTATTCATACACTCCGAAAGTACTAAACGTATTTTGATGAAACTTTGTAAATACATAGCTTATACATATATCTATCTATACATATAAATAAAATTGGAGTGTCTGTTTGTAATATTGAAATAACCGTCTTTTACTACATGCATGTGTCTTTTATTACGGTAAATACATCAAAATAACATTTCTTATAATTTTTGTCTGTCTGTTTGTTCGGGCTAATCTTTGAAATAGCTGGACCATTCCGTGGCGTCCCCATTAAATTCAATATCGATATTGTTTTGTTTCATTTTTTATACATTTTCTTCACTTCTTTTCGAACATTCCGTGGCGTCCCCATTAAATTCAATATCGATATTATTTTGTTTCACTTTTTATACATTTTCTTCACTTCTTTTCGAACATTCCGTGGCGTCCCCATTAAATTCAATATCGATATTATTTTGTTTCACTTTTTATACATTTTCTTCACTTCTTCTCGAACATTCCGTGGCGTCCCCATTAAATTCAATATCGATATTATTTTGTTTCACTTTTTATACATTTTCTTCACTTTTTCTCGAACATTCCGTGGCGTCCTCATTAAATTCACTATCGATATTGTTTTGTTTCACTTTTTACACATTTTCTTCACTACTTCTCGAACATTCCGTGGCGTCCCCATTAAATTCAATATCGATATTATTTTGTTTCACTTTTTATACATTTTCTTCACTTCTTCACGAACATTCCGTGGCGTCCCCATTAAGTTCAATATCGATGTTGTTTTGTTTCACTTTTTATATATTTTCTTCACTTCTTCTCGAACATTCCGTGGCGTCCCCATTAAATTCAATATCGATGTTGTTTTGTTTCACTTTTTATACATTTTCTTCACTTCTTCTCGAACATTCCGTGGCGTCCCCATTAAGTTCAATATCGATGTTGTTTTGTTTCACTTTTTATATATTTTCTTCACTTCTTCTCGAACATTCCGTGGCGTCCCCATTAAATTCAGATTACAATATATTCAACCCATTTTTAATTTCAATAATACAACAACTTAAACATTGCAATATTCCTCCAGCAAACATAGGGATTACTTTAAAAACATATTTTAAAGAACTGTAATGATAAGGGTCAAGTAATTCGAGAACATTCTTCAAGATTATATGTACATTTTATTTGCTCCTTTTTTTCGTTTGTTGTTTATATTGTATTTTTTACATTGCACTGAATAAAATATTTTTCTTTCTTTCTTTCTTTCAAGATTAGAGCCGTGTGGTCTTGCGTTGTATAAAGGGTAAATAAGGGTCGGCAACGCACGTGACACCCCTGGTGTTGCAGGCGTTCATAGGCTACGGTAACCATTTACCATCAGATGGGCCGTATGCTTGATTGCACCATAGTATAATAAAAAAAGATTTCAAGTTACATTAAGATTATATATGGTGGGTTTTTTTCTTAAACAGTCTTAAAAAATGCAGCAATATAAAAAAAATTTTTTTTTAGTTTTTTTGTAAGTTTTTTATTAATTACTCATTTCGAGCAGCGGTCACCCACTACTGTTATTATTATTCACTAGCTGTTCCCGCGACTTCGTTCACGTGGAATAAAACTTTATTTTTCTAAAATAAAAGTAGCCTAAGTTACTCCTTATTACATCAGCTATCTGCCAAAAAAAGTCGACTCAAAATCTGTCCAGCCATTTCAGAGATTGGCCGGAACAAACAGACAGACTCAAATATTGTAAAAAATGTTATTTTAACCGACACTCCAACTTTATTTATATGTTATAGATTCGTTTGATATTACTATGTAATATTATCATATCTGTGACATTACCATGCGGCTGGGCGTGTTTCAATTCCGGCAGCATGCTGTCCATGTCGCCCCTTATTTTTATTTTCTCACAAATAATTTCACTCTCTAAATCTTTTGTAGTTGCGGGGTGCGTCTGGAAATTTTGAACAAAAATATATGTTACCGAGTTATATATTTAGTACTACCTGTACACGCGAATTCGTCCGCGTGGAATAAAACTTTATTTTTCTAAAATAAAAGTAGCCTAAGTTACTCCTTATTACATCATCTACGTGCCAATAAAAATGTGGTCAAAATTGGTTCAGCCATTTCACGGCCGGAACAAACAGACAGACAGACATTGTAATAAATGTTATTTTGGTGTATGTACCGTATTTATATTCATATGCATGTAGTAAAAAACGCTTATTTCAATATTACAAACAGACACTTCAATTTTATTTATACGTATAGACTTATTTTAATATAAATATAGACTGTACTGTACTTTTTACTTTATTATTATTATTTTTTTTTTCTTTGTATATAATGATTTCATCTCTAATTTAATGAATTGTTTTTATTTACGTTTATCTTATATAATAATTTATATGCAGCTGTCGGCATCGTTTTATTGTGTTGAGATGTGTGATGTAATAAATGTAATAAATGTAATAAATGTAAATAAACTGTAAATCGTGTGCAATTATTTAGTAGAGATACTAATGTGATACAAACTGCAAAAAGCAATAACAAATATGTTTTTAAATATAAAGTTAAAGATAAATTGTTTGTACTTTATTTTGATATTATTTACTTATTTTTCTTGCCTATACCAAAGCACTTTAACTGCAAAAAAAAATGTGTCAGCTCTACTCACCGTGTATACAATCCCGTAAGATTTGGTCCCGTGGCGGATGTACAACTCTTTTGTGGACCCTCCGAAGTAATCGTTTCTGTATCGCTTGAGGTCTGTACTGTACCTTAATAATAATAATAATGATATAAGTTTAATTATATTATATATACCCATCAAAGGGAGATATAATATATATATATCTTATATATAAAATTCTCGTGTCACAGTTTTCGTTCCCATACTCCTCCGAAACGGCTTGACCGATTCTCATGAAATTTTGTGAGCGTATTGAGTAGGTCTGAGAATCGGCCAACATCTATTTTTCATCCCCCTAAATGTTAGGGGTAGTCCACCCCTAATTTTTTTTTTTTATTTTAAGGCAAAACATCGTTTGCCGGGACAGCTAGTATATATATATATATAATTATCATCCACAGGAGCTATTGCGAAAAAAACATAAAACAATAGACGATCTGCAATTAATTAAACTAATCTACGTCTAAATATATGTATATAACTCAAAGGTGACTGACATAGTGATCTATCAACGCACAGCCCAAACCACTGGACGGATCGGGCTGAAATGTGGCATGCAGGTAGATGTTATGACGTAGACTAAGAAAGGATTTTGATTAGTTCTACCCCTAAGGGAACAAAATAGGGGATGAAAGTTTGCATGAAACTTTGACAATTTTAAACCGATCGGGCTGAGACTTTGAATGCATAAAGCTACTATGACGTAAGCATCCCCTAAGAAATGATTTTGATAAATTCCACCCCTAAGGGGATAAATTAACGCCAACAAAGCCGCGGGCAAGAGCTAGTTTAGAATATAAAAAATATCTAGAATGTTAAAAAACCTATCATAAGGTTGGCAACCCTGAGATCAATCAACCCATGCAAGTGCGCGTCTATAGAAAGGAACGGGGAGTTTCTGGTCGCTTGTTTTTGGTCGGTGTATTTTTTTAGTTGAGTAATATAATTAGGTGGGCCCCTAAGTAGATTTAGCCCAGGGCCCCACAAATTCACTATCCACCTTGCTACTTACCACATCTCAACCGGCTGGACGAGGCCCGTCATTAAGTTGATATCCTCTGCTTTGAGATGGAACTCGGTCGGGTAGCTCAATGATAGCGTGCCTGTAAATAAAATGGAAGAGTCATCATCATCATCACCATCATCATCTGCTTCTCCTTATCCCATTCATTTAGGGTCGGCGTAATATGTCGGAACGTAATCAGTGTATTACTATACTGGAAAAGTATAATCTATACATATAAATAAAATTGGAGTGTCTGTTTGTAATATTGAACAACATTCATATGAATATAAATACGGTACATACACCAAAATAACATTTTTTTACTATTTTTGTCTGTCTGTCTGTCTGTCTGTTTGTTCCAGTTAATCTCTGAAATGGCTGGACCGACTTTGACGGGATTTTTATTGACAGGTAGCTGATGTAATAAGGAGTAACTAACTAACAAAAATTTATATGTGTAATTATTTAATCAATTATATATGTGCAATAAAGTATCATTACATAGTATAAAACAAACGTCGCTCGCTGTCTGTCTGTCCCTTTGTATACTTAAATCTTTAAAACTACGCAACGGATTACGAAGCGGTTTTTTTAATAGATGGAGTGATCCAAGAGGAAGGTTTATATGTATAATACATGTACACCCGTGCGAAGCCGGGGCGAGTAGCTGGTATATTATAAACCAGAGTCCTTTCAAAGTCAAACTCGTATTGTCTCACCATGAGTGTAGTCACATAGTGTAATGAGGACCCACGCCAGAGTATATGTTGTGGACAGAGACATTCCGGACCGCACACCACGACTGATTAGTTAAAATTAGAAGCACACGTTCTATATTATTATTATATATATATAATAAATATTTTTTTATTAGAAATTTATCTATTAGGGCGTGTACACAAGGATTCTATATGAATATAATAGTAATATCTCTACATAACAGCTGTGTTAACAGCGCCATCTAGTCCCACGGACGGACGGACAATTGACTATGTTTCTTTTTTGTAAATGTATAGATAAAACACTCAGGCCAATACAAACAATCATACTCATGATTGTAATAAATCGTAATCATGTTTTTACCGAAATCGAACCCGCGACCATCGGAGGCAAAGCAGTATGGTAAACCGTTAGACCATCGAGGCCTTAATATAAAATTACACGTAGAAATATACATCTAAATATATATAACTCAAATGTGACTGACATAGTGATCTATCAACGCACAGCCCAAACCACTGGACGGACCGGGCTGAAATTTGTTATGCAGGTAGATGTCATTATGTAGGCATCCGCTAAGACAGGATTTTGATTAATTCTACCCCCAAGGGGATTAAATAGGGGATGAAAGTTTGTATGAAACTTTGTCAATTTTCAACCGATCGGGCTGAGACTTTGCATGCATAAAGCTACTGTGACGTAGGCATCCCCTAAGAAAGGATTTTGATAAATTCCACCACTAAGAGTATAAATTAACGCGAGCGGAGCCGCGTGCAAAAGCTAGTTTTATATATACCTGAGTGGCATTGTTTTCTGCTATGTACATAACTTTCTTATATGACTTGGACCTTTGTTTCTTTGACTGTCACAACATGGCCAGTTTTTGGTAGGTTTTTGGGTTCAATGAGGTCATCTACCTCAGATGACCTCATTGGACCCATTATCTGAGGTAGATGACCTCATTGAACCCAAAAACCTACCAAAAACTGGCCATGTTGTGACAGTCAAAGATCTTCTATCGAATTAATATAATTAGTGGGCAATTAGTCTTAAATATAAATGGACACTCGTCGTTTTTGGTGTCTACCAAAATTCGAACTCGGGACTTTATCCTGCAAGTAGTAAAAACCAAGTCCAGGACGCTGTGTCAACGTTTGTATAGCGTTGCATGTGCTCACCGCTTGATACCGTGTGCTAACACGTTGGCTGTATTTAATTTGATAATATTAATTAATATAATGAGTACAATGATTGCCATTATAACATGTAAATTGTGTGCGTCGCAGCAAAACTACTACGCACCTCACTCTCAACTAGTTAAGTCATCAAGCAACTTACTTTTTTATTAATACTAGCTGTTCCAGCAAACGTTGTTTTGCCATATAATTTAATAACGCTATAAAAAAATAGGGGTTGGTGATAGAAGGGTGAAAATTTAGGGTTGTATGTAGTTTTTAATAAGACATAATAAAAAAATATAAATAAAAAATTTTGCCCAAAAATTTAAAAAAAAAATATTAGAGGTGGACAACCCTTATCACTCAGGGGTAAGAAAAATAGTAGCCGATTCTCAGACTTACTGAATATGCATATAAAATTTCATCAAAATCGGTCAAGCCGTTTCGGAGGCGTATGGTAACTAACATTGTGACACGAGAATTTTATATATAAGATTTAATTGAATGGTGCACCCGCCTGCGCTAATGGTTTACGCTGGCGGTGCACCAGTGGAGGATGATAAGATGAGCATAAGGTCAGGTCAGTTAGCACACCGTGACAAATTTACCAGGAATATTAGTACCAGCTCATATTAAACAATATTAATAATCTCAGGACAATTCACACAGCGCCATCTAGTCCCAAGTTAAGCTAGCTAAAGCTTGTGTTATGGGTACTTGATAAGAGATACATATACATAGATATTTTTTTTAAATAAATATTTAATATACATAGAAAACACCCAGATCTATACAAACAATCATACTCATGAATACAAATATTTGTGCCGTGCGAGGAATCGAATCCGCGACCATCAGTCGTAAAGCGGTGTGCTAGACCGCTAGACTACCGAGGTCGTCATAATAGTACCCTATAATTCAAATTCCAATTCAAAATACATTTATTCATATAGGACATTTTAGACGCTTATGAACTTCAAGTTTTTTATATTATAATTTTTTCCCTACCGTCTATTTCAGTATATAGATCCAATTGAGAAGAACTCATAAGAAACTCAACATAATATAACCTTATAGACTAACATTCATAATATACATATAAATAAAATTGTAGTGTCTGTTTGTAATATTGAAATAACCGTTTTTTACTACATGCATATGAATATAAATAGGGTGCATACACCAAAATAACATTTTTTTACAATTAATTACGTCTGTTTGTTCCGGCTGATCTCAACTACATAACAAAACATTCCACTCGCTAGAATTATAACCAATTACATTACGGTAAGTAACAAATGAGAAAGTAATCACTAAATTATAAAATTAATTTATATAACACAACAACTAAGTGATAAGCTATATTTCATTTGGTGTGACAGTAATCGATTACCATCACCGTTACCTACAGTTGCCGCTGATACTTTTATTGCCTTCAATAATAAATCTTTTCCAGACGCACTACAACGACTGTAATAAAATCGCAAACTTAACAAAATTACTTTCCAGTTCCTTTACACAGATATTCTGAATGGCTTTTGCTCACTGGTCATTTTTTGTTAGGACTACTCTTATGCTGTTGGCCGCAGCTGGCCTTTACAGCTTCACCGGACGATAGGGGGCGAGTGCAGATGGCACTCCAAACCAATGGAAGGACTTATAGAGCGACTGAAGGACAACTCCCGCCTGATGGATACGACGCCAGTCTGAGGGCACCGCTAGGTTCGAACCTCGGCTCAGGCCGTCGTAATTTCGATCCCCCCTTGATTTGGACGGGGGATTGATCGTAATGATAGCAGTTCCTTATAACATTAGCTATCTGCGAGAAAGTCTTTGGCTCAGCCTTTTCAGCTATTAGTCAGAACAAATATGTTTATAAATTTATTTTGGATTAGCAGTTCCCGCGACTCCAATTTTTTTTTTCTAAAATAAAAGTAGCCTAAGTTACTCCTTATTACGTCAGCTACCTGCAAAAAAAAGTCCTGTCAAAATCGGTCCATCCATTTCAGAGATTAGCCGGAACAAATCCTAAGAATATCCTTCAATTCTTGTCCCTGACGGGTCTAGGTAGCGAACTCTGAAAAGGGCGAGCACAATAGATCTATGTAGGTCGCAGTGCTACAGGTGCTACACATCTGACAATAGCCCAAGCAACCCAATAAAAAAAAAAATAGCCGGAACAAACAGACAGACAGACTGACAGACAAAAATTATAAAAAATGTTATTTTAGTGTATTTACCGTATTTATATTCGCATGCATGTAGTAAAAACGGTTATTTCAATATTGCAAACAGGCACACATAAGTACGATACGATATGAGTTTTAAATATATTTAGATTTGTGCATTAAAGTTTAAATAAATATATAAATATTAATATATGCAAATATAGAAAGTCTGGCATTTTTAATTCACGCCTTAACAATAGTGTGTGGTGTGCGAGTGAGTATATACGTGTACACGTGTATATATAGTATTGTGTTGTGGTGACTCACTTCAATTGGGAACGATTACGGTATGTATGTAACATGACCATTTATTACTCCACTCAAAACCGGACATCAGTTTATTAAATGTAAACCTATATTCATCTATACATATAAATTCAATTGGAGTGTCTGTTTGTAATATTGATATAACTGTTTATTACTACATGCATGTGAATATAAATAGGGTATATACACCAAAATAATATTTTTTACAATTTTTATCTGTCTGTTTGTTCCGGTTAATCTCTGAAATGGCTGGACAGATTTTGGCGGGATTTTTTCAGCAGGTACCTGATGTAATAAGGAGTAACTTAGGCTAGTTTTATTTTAGAAAAATAAAGTTAAATTCCACGTGAACGAAGTCGCGGGAATAGCTAGTACAATAATAAAATTTAAAAGTAATGAAGGAGACAAAACGGTCTACAACTCAGTGAGGGCAGTGAGTCCACCCTCTCTGCTATTCTATTATAAGCCCTTACAGTAAATAATACAGTAAGAGATCTACGACAACGATAGCACATTAAATTCTAAACTACAACTAACAAAGTAAACATAAAAATTGACAATAACTTAACAAGATTATTATTTATACGTATAATTAGTAAAAATCACGGGATCTTACCACGTTTTATATTTATTTGCTGAGTTCCCGATATTTCGGTAGTGTTTCAACCACCATGATCACGGGTAAACTGATCTGATACCCTGTGGTAAGATCCCAACCGTCTGATGTTTTCTAATTATACGTATAAATAATGACCGCGTCAAGTTTAAAACAAGATTATTATTATTATTATTTTTCCAAAACTCTCATCTCTGGCCCTCTTAAGGAGTGTTGTTAGTCGTTTACCCCCGGCATATTTACTAGTAATTTGCTGGGGTTCGTAGGATGGGAGAGATTACCCGGCGTACAATGCGGGCAGAATTATTAGAGCATTATTTTTTATTTTATTTTTTCTTGTGTAATTAGTGTATGTAATCCCAACCGTCTGTGTTTTCCAGAGTGTGTGTATATATATACCGTTCACCGACATGATTCGAATGATTTCGGTGGACATCAATAAGTAATTTCTTTAATATTATTATTTATAACAAGGGACTGTCCCGTTCAAAACGGGACGTCTAGTCACATGATGTACGTACTACGGTACAGCCGGAGCACAGTATTACGACGCTATTTAAATGAAATGTTTATTTCCAATGCCACTCAGCCGAGTGACAGCGAGCGAGATGAATTTTTTGGTGAGTTCTCTAATTTCACTTTAAAAAACGCACTCAGAAAATATTTTAATAACTGACTAAGTCTAGGTAATTTGTACAAACGGACAGACTCGTCTGCGTGGACACCTCTCTCGCAACTACCTATATTTATAGAATAGAATAGAAAATCATTTATTCAAATAAACTTACATTGAAGCACTTTTGAATAGTCATCACATTTTTTTTAATCTGCCGCTCATTCGGAAAGCTGTCTCATCACAAGAAGAACGAGCAAGAAACTTGCGTGTTGCTCTTTTAAATAATTTTATTCTTACTTTACATTTTTAAGTGTGTGAATACAAAATACCAATTAGCACCAATTCAATTAAATACTCAAATAGTAAAAATATTGAATATATAACCAACTGGTTAAACAATATCTATATATACAAAAACTAGCAGTTCCCGCGACTTAGTTTGCGTGGAATTTAACTTTATATTTTCTAAAATGACAGAATTTTTAAAATAGAAGTAGTCTAAGTTACTCCTTGTTACATGTCAATAAAAGTCCCGTCAAAATCGGTCCAGCATATGTTCCGTCGTCCCTATGTATGCTTAAATCTTTAAAACTACGTAACGGGTTTAGAAGCTGTTTTTTTTATAGATAGAGTGATTTGAGAGGAAGGTTTCAGAGATTACCCGGAACAAACAGACAGACAGACAATCAAAATTAGTAAAAAATGTTATTTTTGTGTATGTATCGTATTTGTATGTATGCATGTAGTAAAAAACGGTTATTTCAATATTACAAACAGACATTCCATTTTATTTATATGTATAGATGTATAGATTACGTGTCACGTTGTTTGTCCGCGATGGACTCCTAAACTACTGAACCGATTGCAAATTTGATTCAACTTGTAAGATAGGATAGCTTACATCTCAATTTATAGTCGCAATATTATTTTATTCAAGAACCTTAGACACAGCGACGCGTGGCCGGCTGTGATGGTATTGTATAAAATTTATAAACGGTTCATTGATGTTGAGAAGAAATTGTATTAATTAATGTCCAAAGATCGTTTGTATTATTATGATTTAAATGTTACATTGTAATTGACTGAACATTGTCTCATCCGTCATACTTATGAACGGGGCTGCTGAACTAGTCTGTTCGAGTTTTATTTTTTTATTACTATTGCATTTCAAAAATACACGGTTATTTGAAAAGAATTTAAATGCAAACAATTCATTAGCTTTTATACTATATTTGATTCTAATCTAATTTTTTTTTATTTAATTTATATTATATTATAATTTAATTTAATTTATATTAGATTGTATTAATTAATATGTATACGCTTCTAACATTGTAATTGAAACATTGTATCAAGAATTCGGTTCGGTTCATACGTTAGTATGTACTCATTTAGTACATAATCATTATCTATACATCTACACATATAAATAAAATTGGAGTGTCTGTTTGTAATATTGTAATAACCGATTTTTACTACATGCATATGAATATAAATACAGTGCAAATCACAAAATAACATTTAAAAAAAATTGTCCGCCTGTCTGTCTGTTTGTTCCAGCTAACCTCTAAAACCTTCCTCTTGAATCACTCTATCTATTAAAAAAAACGCTTCAAAACCCGTTGCGTAGTTTTAAAGTTTTAAGCATACATAGGGACAGACAGCGACAGCGACTTTGTTTTATACTATGTATGAAGTATGTATTTACGAAAAAAATGTATCTATGTATTTATATCGGTTGTCTAGTACCCATAACACAAGCTCTGCTTACCGTGGGACTAGATGGCGCTGTGTTAATTGTCCAGGGTTATTTATTTATTTATATCAGTTGTCTAGTACCCATAATACAAGCTCTGCTTACCGTGGGACTAGATGGCGCTGTGTTAATTGTCCAGGGTTATTTATTTATTATTTATTCGTGTTCTACATTTCCCTGTCCACCGGCGATCTTGACCTACAAATATCGATATAAAAACGAAATAATTTGCATCAATTGTCTTAATTTAATCAGATGCAGCAGTCATTAACATTACCCATGTGTCGTGTACGACAAATGATTCCGATATGAATGTTACTCGTGCAATTTAACAGGTTCTGACCGTGGACGATCGGCTGTCGTTTTTTTTATTAGCCACGTGTTTTTATATATATATCAGTGTTGCTTTTGTTGTTATTGGTTAGTTTACACCGCTTTACGACCGAGTGTCGCGGGTTCGATTCCTCGCACGGCACAAACATTTGTATCCATGAGTATGATTGTTTGTATCGGTCTGGGTGTTTTCTATGTATAATATGTATGTATTTACAAAAAAAAATATCTATGTATATGTATCAGTTATCTAGTACCCATAACACAAGCTCTAGCTAGCTTAACTTGGGTCTAGATGGCGCTGTGTGAATTGTCCTGAGATTATTATTATTATTATTGTGTGCTTTTAACTACTAAGGTTTCTTACCGAGACTGTATATTTTATATTTATAAGGAGCTGTATCAGCGCGTAGAAAGCGCGTGGAATTTAACTTTATTTTTCTAAAATATAAGTAGCCTAAGTTACTCGTTATTACATCAGCTACCTGCCAATAAAATTCCCGTCATAATCGGTTGAGCCATTTCAGAGATTAGCCGGAACAAACAGACATACAAAAATTGACCAACTTCCCCGCAACCTGTGGTCCAAAGGACGAGTGACAGCTGTGTACCCTGGGAAGGACGGTAGGGTCCGAGTAGCTGACGTGCTGACTTCGACCGGACTATATAAACGACCAGCAACGAGGCTCGCCAGACTGTACCGCGACCGCACTTAGAGTATTGATTTCCAATACTGGAGGTGGGGATGTTGCGGCCTCCTTGACAGGACTGCTTGCTGGCCGGATATAAGACGTAACTAGGACAGACGAAAGAATTGACAAGACAGACTCGACAAGGAAAAAAGACGGACAATTACATATGTAGATATTTAAATAATTATATTTTACTTTGAAAACAAGCTCTTTTCTTTAATTACGACGACATCTCTCAACGGTCGGCCGACCAGTAGACCGTTCAATATTATTCTGGTGTACTCGTATGTACCGTATTTATATACATATGCATAGTGGTTTTTAAGTAGGTGAATAAAGGGGGGCGCTAAAAAATTATTTATTCTCAAAGTTGGCAGTAGACATATGTAATAAGTTTGCGAGTTCTTTGTTTCCCTGTTTGTAGTCGTAATATAGTTTCAATGAACTGCGTACCATCATTATAATATTGACCCGGAACATACACAACGGAACTCAGAAAATGTTCAACGGAATACAAACTAATATTATAAATATTAGAGTAGGTCGGTCTGTCTGTTTGTTAGATTTTGACAACAACGTTTGTGCGTACGTAGTACATACATACTTTTTTTGTATAATTACAAACATCTCATGCATAAAATAATAAGTTATTTAATGTTGCTCCCACCACCAACAATTACTTCGCTTAGTTAGTTAAACAATGGCCACAACTATGGGACTGTCTTTATTTCTTTATTAATACCAACATATCTTGTAAGTAGGATTCTTAGTGGCATGTTTTTATGTATGACTAGCTGTACCCGCGACTTCGTCCGCGTGGAATTTAATACTATTTTTCTAAAATAAAAGTAGCCTAAGTTACTCCCTATTACATTAGCTACCTGGCAAAAAAAGTCCCGGTAAAATCGCCTGTTTCAGAGATTAGCCGGAACAAACAGAACGACAGACAGACAGACATGAATTTTAAAAAGAGGTGTTTTGGTGTATGTTCCGTATTTATATTCATATGCATGCAGTAAAAAACGGTTCATTCAATATTACAAACAGACACTTCAATTTTATTTATATGTATAGATAATGTAATGGTGCACCCGCCTGCGCTAACGGTATACGCTGGCGGGGCACCAGTGCAGGATGATAAGATGAACATGAGGTCAGGTCAGTTAGCACATCGTGACAAAATCACAGGGAATTTATCGCGACAATTTCGAGGACCCGTGTGGAAGTCAAACTCTAATGGTCCATTTCTAATAATGGGATCTTCAGTCCATATTACTATGTAATAGTATGTAATATTATATTATCTGTGGTAATAGTATCTTATCTATTATATTACTAACAAACCCCTTACCCCCTTCTTCAACTTCTTCTCAACTGATTCCGAACCGACCCTTCTCAACCGATGGAGCTAACACATTTAATCTAAATATAACATGGCGGACAGAGTTTTTCTTATTACACTTTCATGATATCTAAGAAATAGAAATAATCTCTATTCAAATAAACTCATTACACGCACTTTTGAATAGTCATATTTTTATTCTACCACTCATTCAGAATGCAGACTCATCACAAGAAGAACGAGCGAGAAACTTGCGTGTTGCTCTTTTGAATAGATGTTTTTTTTATATAAATACACAATAACAAGCAAGAGGCATGCAATAATCAACATAGAATCCGCTACGCACTCATTATTAGTGTAATCAGATAATATTGTCAGTGCTATGGATTTTAAGTTTTTCTACAAAACCATTATCGTTAACGAACTCTTATCTTATATACAAAATTCTCGTGTCACAGTTTTCGTTCCCATACTCCTCCGAAACGGCTTGACCGATTCTCATGAAATTTTGTGAGCGTATTGTGTAGGTCTGAGAATCGGCTAACATCTATTTTTCATCCCCCTAAATGTTAGGGGTAGTCCGCCCCTAATTTTTATTTTTTATTTTAAGGCAAAACATCGTTTGCCGCGACAGCTAGTTATATATATAAATATTTTATAATAAATAGGTTTTATTACTGAAGTGTGTTATACCAACGAAATGATTTTATTTTCAGATTATTTTGTGCATCGTAGTGGCATGTTTTAATTTCAACTGGGCATATAACGGCAACTCGGGGCTGAGCGCGGAGCAGTCGTTCCTGGACAAGCTGCACGCGCCGTGGCTGAGACCGGACCGGCCCCCGCCGCCCGACCACCCCAGGAAGGGGGAATATATCTGTAAAGGGAAGATATGCAGGACCAGGCCCAAGGACACCTGCGAGGGCTGCCAACACGCGGCGCCTCTAGACTTTAAGAACTAGCTTTTAATTAAATATTTATTGAAACTTTTGTTTGTTTCATTAATTCCTAACGCCTTAGGTTTAGGTTTTTTAAGTGTGAGTGACAATCCAGACGACTGGTCGACTTTTCGACGTTGCTTATACATATATACCTATATAATAAGCCTCTTTCTAAGTCTCTAGTTATTGTTAACTATCGTGTGAGGCAACATTCATTGAAATGGTATAGTCAATAATCATGTTCCTTTATCTAAGATATTCAGAGTAACCTGAAACGAAACGGCAGAGGCCAGAACTTTTTTTTTTATTTCGGACTACTCTATTGCTGTTGGCCAGACGATTGGAGGCGAGTGCAGATGGCACTCCAAACCCGCGGAAGGACTTATGGAGCGGCTGAAGGCCAACTCCTTCCTGACGGATAATAAACAGACAGACAGACAGACAAAAATTGAAAAAATGTTATTTGTACACCAAAATAACATTTTTTCAATTTTTGTGTCTGGTTTTGTAACGTTATATTCATATGCATGTAGTAAAAAACAATTATTTCAATATTACAAACAGACACTCCAATTTTATTTATATGTTTTTTTTTCGGACTACTCTAATGCCGTTGGCCGCAGCTGGCCTTTACAGCTTCACCGGACGATAGGGGGCGAGTGCAGATGGCACTACAAACCAAAGGAAGGACTTATCCAGCGGCTGAAGGCCAACTCCTGCCTGATGGATACGACTTTAGTCTGAGGGCACCACTAGGGGTTCGAACCTCGGCTCAGGCCGTCGTAATATCGATCCCCGTTTGAATTGGAATTGATCGATCGGAGGGGCGCGGGTGTGGAGAGACCAGAGCTTAAATAATCTTTGTGACATTGACAAGTAGATTGATGGATGCATTGAACTGACGCAGCGGAAGTTTGGAGCGAAGAGGTTTGAAACGTTGAAGTGTTAATATTATTATAAAAACAAATAAGAGATAGGTCATTGTAAATATTGTAGGCATTGGGGGGGTTTATTAGTTGGGACTGGGAGGACACCACAAGTAGTGAAGGTGAGTGTTAATGCATTCTAAAAGGGCCCTTTAAACCTACACCCGTGTCACAAGTCACGGGCGCTACTTGGGGTTCTCTCCCTGAACCATCGGTGGTCGGTCTCAGGGCCTAAGCCTAGTAATATATATATACTATATATATATATATACTAGCTGTCCCGGCAAACGTTGTTTTGCCATATAAATTAATAATGCTATAAAAAAAAAGGGGTTGATGATAGAAGGGTGAAAATTTAGGATTGTATATATTTTTGTATGTTGTATCATAAAAAAATAGAAACTAAAAATTTTGTCTATATGATAAAAAAAATTTAGGGGTGGACCACCCCTAACATTTAGGGGGATGAAAAGTAGATGTTGGCCGATTCTCAGACCTACTCAATACGCTCACAAAATTTCTTGAGAATCGGTCAAGCCGTTTCGGAGGAGTATGGGAACGAAAACTGTGACACGAGAATGTTATATATAAGGTTATTATTAAACTTATTATTATATATATATATACTAGCTGTCCCAGCAAACAATGTTTTGCCTTAAAATAAAAAAAAAATTAGGGGTGGACTACCGCTAACATTTAGGGGGATGAAAAATAGATGTTAGCCGATTCTCAGACCTACTCATTACGCTCACAAAATTTCATGAGAATCGGTCAAGCCGTTTCGGAGGAGTATGGGAACGAAAACTGTGACACGAGAATTTTATGTATAAGATAGAGTCCGACAAAGTTTGTCTGTCCCACCTGCTGAAGTGTGTGATACTTCAGCAGGTGGGACGATTAGGACGAGCAGCTAACTATAGTATATAACTATCTATTATATAAATAAACTTCAGCTTTAGCTATTAAGTACATTACACAGTTTACATTACAGTACAAAGTTGCCTGGCAGACAGTTTTCTCTTCATTATATGTTTCTCATCAAATATGTGCAGTAATTAAAACGGTTGCAACATATTGTGAACGCAGTACAGATGATATCTGGGATCAAAGAGTAACTCATTCGTGTATGATACTGGGAACAAACTGTAATATGTATGTTATGAAATATCATAGCATAAAATAAAGTCGCTGTCGCTGTCTGTCCGTCCCTATGTATGCTTAAATCTTTAAACTACGCATCCGATTTTCAAGCGGTTTCTTTTAATAGATAGAGTGATTCAAGAGGAAGGTTTACATATATAATACATGTGCACCCGTGCGAAGCCAGGGCGAGTAGCTAGTCATTACAAAGTCGCTGTCTGTCCGTCCCTATGTATGCTTAAATCTTTAAACTATGCAACCGATTTTCAAGTGGTTTATTTTAATACATAGAGTTCTTTAAGAGGAAGGTTTATATATATAATACATGTGCACCCGTGCGAAGCCAGGGCGAGTAGCTAGTCATTACAAAGTTGCTGTCGCTGTCTGTCTGTCCCTATGTATGCTTAAATCTTTAAACTACGCAACGATTTTGTTGCGGTTTCTTTTAATAGATAGAGTGATTCAAGAGGAAGGTTTATATATATAATACATGTGCACCCGTGCGAAGCCAAAGCGAGTAGCTAGTCATTACAAAGTCGCTGTCGCTGTCTGTCCGTCCCTATGTATGCTTAAATCTTTAAACTACGCAACGATTTTGTTGCGGTTTCTTTTAATAGATAGAGTGATTCAAGAGGAAGGTTTATATATATAATACATGTGCACCCGTGCGAAGCCAAAGCGAGTAGCTAGTCATTACAAAGTCGCTGTCGCTGTCTGTCTGTCCCTATGTATGCTTAAATCTTTAAACTACGCAACGATTTTGTTGCGGTTTCTTTTAATAGATAGAGTGATTCAAGAGGAAGGTTATATGTATAATACATGTACACCCGTGCGAAGCCAGGGCGAGTAGTTAGTAATTTATAATACCAACCGTTACTCGCTTCTTAGACTGGATTTTTACGATAATTTTCATAAATAAACTACACTGAGTAACCTTCAACCTTGTAGGCAGACACACACTTTAGAATTTTTAATATTAGGTTGGATCAGTCTAAGAGGTCTTGAATCCTGAGATCAGTGGACTTTCTGAGACTACAAATTGTTTTAGTGCTGAGATTATTTTTACCAAAATCCCCGTACAATTCAAACAGAGATCTAAATTACGACCTGAGCCGAGGTTCGAACCCCTGGCGGTGCCAGACTGGCGTCGTATCCATCAGGCGGGAGTAGAATAGAATAGAATAGAAAATCATTTATTCAAATAAACTTACATTGAAGCACTTTTGAATAGTCATAACATTTTTTTTTTTTAATCTACCGCTCATTCGGAATGCTGTCTCATCACAAGAAGAACAAGCAAGAAACTTGTGTGTTGCTCTTTTAAATAATTTATTCTTACTTACAATTTAAGTTTAAGTGTGTGAATACAAACCACCGATTAGCACACATTCAATGAAATAATAAAATAGAAAAAAAAATTCAATATACAACAACTGGTTAAACAATTAATAAGAGAAAATAAGTCATAGTGATTAGAGCAGACCAGTCCACACAAGCAGCACCCGTTCACGAGTATGACGGATGAGCCAGCCACCACTGCGCTCGACCATATTTTAGAGAACCCAATGACCCGGCCCACCACGCCGCCACAAGTCTGGACATTTTAGTGAGCATGACTACTCAAAACACTAGACCACGTCATAGCTACTCACAATTGCCATCTGATGGTTATATTATTCACATTTCACATAAGAATGCATGCGGCAATCAATACAAAAACCGCTACGCTTTCATATTTCTAAAATAATTAAATCAAGAAAGCAATGAGATAAACAAATTATAACGTTGTATGCTAATAAACTAATTATTTACTTGATATGTTGTCGTCTATGAATTCCTCTATCCTGTAATAGGCTTTGTTACACAAAAATTGTTTAATATTAGATTTGAATTGCCTCTCTGTCAGATTTAGTGCAGATTCTGGCAGTTTATTATAAAATCTTACGCAATTACCATAGAATGAATTACTGACTTTGTGCAGACGGCATTGTAAAAATAGCTTATTTTTATTGAGTTATCCTTCAGCCGCTCCATAAGTCCTTCCTTTGGTTTGGAGTGCCAGCTGCACTCGCCCCCTATCGTTTGGGACAGGCTAGCTGCGGCCAACAGTATTGGAATACGAAAACGAGTAGTTCCAAAACTATGTTATAATAATATTGTAGGCAACTCTATATGTAATACATATTTTAAACATGTACATATATATATTTATATCAATAATGATTGTCAGTAAATGTTTTTCTTTCTTTCTATTTTTTTTAAATAAATACAAATTTGTAATTATTTCTGAATAAAATAAACTAATAAATTGTAGTCAAACGAAACATCTCGATGACGACTACTTTAATACTGTAAAGTATTACAAAAACCGCATAATAATCAGTTATGCGGTTCACCATTCATTTAGGAGGTACGATGCCACAGACAGACACAGATACACAGACAGGTGACCTCGGTGGTAAGCGGTTTAGACTTTGCTTCTGACGGTTGCAGGTTCAATTCCTTGCACGGCACAAACATTTGTATTCAGGAGTATGATTGTTAGTATCCGTCTGGGTGTTTTCTATGTATAATAATAATAATAATCTCAGGACAATTCACACAGCGCCATCTAGACCCAAGTTAAGCTAGCTAAAGCATGTTTTATGGGTACTAGATAACTGATACAAATACGTAGATATTTTTTTCGTAAATACATACATACATACATAGAAAACACTCAGACCGATACAAACTCATGAATACAAATGTTTGTGCCATGCGGGGAATGTAACCCGCGACCATCGGTCGTAAAGCGGTGTGCTAGACCGCTAGACCACTATAATATACTATTCTATGTATATTATGTATGTATTTAGTAAAAAAAAAATTGAGTTTATATCAGTTGTCTAGTATCTAGAACCAGAACCATCTAGACGTCATGAAGAGAGGTAATGATGTGAAACTGATTCTTCATTTTATATATTTAAATTCATCACGAATGCTGTTTCTTTTTTTCAAGTGACTCCACTGAAAATCAGCGCTGTAGTGACACGCTGCGGCCCCAGCTGAGTGGAGGCCTCATCAGCAGCGAATTATTAGTTTTTAAGTTTTCTTTTTTACTCTGGATTACTACTTTTATATGCTGAATAAATGATGATTATTATTATTACTAGCTGTACCGGAAAAGTTGTTTTGCCTTCAAATAAAAAAAAAATTAGGGGTGGACTACCCCTAACATTTAGGGGGATGAAAAATAGATGTGATGCCGATTCTCAGACCTACTCAATACGCTCACAAAATTTCATGAGAATCGGTCAAGCCGTTTCGGAGGAGTATGGGAACGAAAACTGTACAAAATACGAAATATACTGTAGCCTTCGCAAGTTCTAAACATGTTACTTGTCGGTTCCTATTTTAATATTAATAGTAACTAGCAATAGAAAGTAATAATTGGTATATGAGAACTGGCCAAGTTATACCTTAGGCTACAGTACATTATCCTAAGTTATAAGAAGAAATGATATTTTATATTGTTATAAATACATTTCAGGACAGACCATTGAACTTGGCACCCATTTAGATCTCATCTCTTTTGTCGTAGAAGTCTACAATCAAGGTAGGTATATATCATAATATTAAACTCGGCTATCATTTCACATTTATTGACGACCTCGGTGGTCCAGCGGTCTAGTACACCGCTTTACGACCGATGGTCGCGGGTTCGATTCCTCGCACGGCACAACATTTGTATTCATGAGTATGATTGTTTGTATCGGTCTGGGTGTTTTCTGTATATAATATGTATGTATTTACAAAAAAAAAAAAATATCTATGTATTTGTATCAGTTATCTAGTACCCATAACACAAGCTTTAGCTAGCTTAACTTGGGTCTAGATGGCGCTGTGTGAGTTGTCCTAAGATTATTATTGGATTATTATTATTATTTATGTTTTTGATGGGATTATATATATAAGGTTATTATTAAACTTGCATGCCCCCTGAATATGAGGCGAACATTTGTACTGTTGTTGTAAATGTTGAAGCAAATAAATATTCTATCTAATGATTATAATTAATATATACACCATAACAAAATCATATACATAATCGCGATCTGTTTTCTGTGCAGTCGTTCGGGCTGGTTGTTGCGCAAGTTAAGCAGGCAGAGGTTGTCTGTCTGTCTGTGTACGTAGTTGACACCACTCCCCTTGGACAGGAGCTGTGCGACCTCGGAGCGACCCTGCACTACTCAACATAGAGTATCTGTTCTGTACATTTAACTTAGACGTTATAATATTTACTTTAGTACTTATATTTTTGATAAACTTAAATATATTTGTAACCTTATAATAACTGTAAAGAGGAATTTAAACGCCCGTCCATCCGTCGCGGTCGGTCATTATGTTATGCTCGTATTTGAAAAACCACAGATGCTATATAAAATGTCAAGAGTCAGTAAACAAAATAAATAAATAACCCTGGACAATTAACACAGCGCCATCTAGTCCCACGGTAAGCAGAGCTTGTGTTATGGATACTAGACAACTGATATAAATAAATAAATAACCCTGGACAATTAACACAGCGCCATCTAGTCCCACGGTAAGCAGAGCTTGTGTTATGGGTACTAGACAACTGATATAAATAAATACATAAATAACCCTGAACAATTAACACAGCGCCATCTAGTCCCACGGTAAGCAGAGCTTGTGTTATGGGTACTAGACAACTGATATAAATAAATAAATAACCCTGGACAATTAACACAGCGCCATCTAGCCCCACGGTAAGCAGAGCTTGTGTTATGGGTACTAGACAACTGATATAAATAAATAAATAACCCTGGCCATTTAACACAGCGCCATCTAGTCTCTTCTAGTACAACAACTGATATAAATACATAGATACTTTTTTTTTGTAAATACATACATAATATACATAGAAAACACCCAGACCGATACCAACAATGATTGAGGAATCGTACCCGCGACCATCGTAAATACCATCCAGGTCGAATAAACAACACAACCCCATCTAGTCTTGGGACTTAAATATTAAGCTAAAACTTCAATAATAGTTGTATTCATGTAAACAAATATGCATGCACGGTGACCGAACCCACGACCGTAGAAGCTGTTTTACCGCGACACCACGAAGGTTGTCAACAGACCTGAATGAAGACACAACTTGTTCAGACATAAATAGCCAACAAATTAATACGCACGTCCTCATTTTAGTAATTGGTTGACAATTAAAGTTAATGAAGAAATGCACCGCGTACAAGGTTGTATTGCAATGAAGCTCTACCTGTTCACTAGTAATAAACCTGCAATGGAGACTCGATTTACTGGAATAATTTTATTAAGTAAGTTAAGTTAATAATGTCCTCATAAATTCCTGATGAACTTACCACGATGTGCTGACCTGACCTCATGTTCATCTTATCATCCTGCACTGGTGCCCCGCAGATGAAGATACAGTACGATGTATCTTCACAGGTGATACCTCACGAGGACGGAGACAGGTCTTATATTTAAAAAGACACGAATTCACGCATTACAGATATTTTATTCCCAAAGCATACCTGAAGTGTTCACAAACTTTCATTCTCTATTTCATATAATTTTTTTGTATTAAATATTATTTTTTTTCCTTACTAATATTATAAATGCGAAAGTAACTCAGACAGAGTTACTTTCGCATTTATAATAGTCTCGCTTTCACGTCAAAACTACTAAACCGATTTAAGTGAAATTTGGTACACAAATAGTTTAGACCCCGAGAAAGGACATAGGCTACTTTTGAATGGTAAAAAAGGGTTGTAAGAGGTTGAAAGTGGGGATGAAAGATTGTATGGAAGAATCGTTATTTTTGAAGCTAAAAGCTTGAAACTTATTTTTGAGGCTGTTAATTAAATATGACATTCAAAGTTAGTAAAAATATTACCCTTAAAAGGGTAAAATAAAATAGTGGTTGAAAGTTTTTACATCAAAATAACACATAGACTATAATTTAAAAAAGATATTATGTAAATTGGGTGAAATGTAGTGATAAGTGTGATACAGACGAAGTCGCGCGGGTCAACTAGTATTAAATATATATCAATACAGTCGTCATGGTACTTCAATATTTATTTATTTATGTTTCATTGCACAATTATAATGTACTGACTCACACACATTCAGACACACACACACAAACATGCACCTTACGATACGATATTGAAACCTTCAAGAAAAGAGCTTATTCCTTTTTAAAAGGCCGTCAACGTACTTGCAATTCCCCTGGTGTTGCGGGTGCTCATGGGCGCCGGTAATCACTTACCATCAGGTGAGCCGCATGCTCGTTTGTCCCGTGTTATAAAAAAAAACTTCGTCAGGTGCATGTCGGCGACGTGGATGATAGGCGGACGTTCATATTATTCACTAGCTAAACCCGCGGTTACACCCGCCTGAATTTTATAATCTACGTGTTCTTATAATAATAATAATTTTTGGAATAATATTAATAAAAAAGTATATCTTGTAGATTAGCCAACCCAAACACACACAATATACAAAGCACAGTCAATGAAAAACTAACAAAGTACACAGATCTAGCAATAGAATTAAAAAAACAATGGAAAGCACACACCATCCACATAGTACCCATAGTTTTGTCATCCACAGGAATTATACCAAAAAGTCTGAACAAACACGTAGACACGTTGCATATCCCCTCCTCTACAATAGACCTATTACAAAAAGCCGTCATACTAAACACATGCCGAATAGTCAGAAAATTTCTATCTTCATCACATAACTCATCCATGCTTGGCTAAGGCCCGCGTGTTTGAATATATTACCCCCGTAATAAGGGAGATATAATAAATATATATATATATATGTAATAATAGTAAACATTATTGGCCAATAAAACGTTATGATGTGACTAACCTGACAGTTTCTTCTTTAACTCAAAACGGGACATTTTGAATGAAATAAACAATTTTATTAAAGCTTAATTCAAAAAACGTTAGCTTAAAAGTTGAGTATTAGCGGATGAACAAAATTTTCTTTAATATATAGTACCTAGTGAAGCTTTTAAGTAACACTGAAACTTTTGACATGTTTTTTTTATATCCACCTTAACAAACAATAATAATCAACATCACAACCGGCCCGCTCGACTACAATTTTCGCGGAGTTTCCGAAAACGGGGCAATATTGCGTCCCAGAGCTAATTTTGATGTAATTATATAATATACTAACTTATCGCGACTTCGTTCGAATTTAACTTTATTTTTCTAAAGTAAAAGTAAGCTAAGTTACTCCTTATTACATCAGCTACCTACCAATAAAAGTTCCGTCAAAATCGGTTCAGCCATTTCAGAAATTAGCCCGAACAAACAGACAGACAGACAGACAAAAATTGTAAAAAAATATTTTTTTTTGGTGTATGTACCGTATTTAAATATTTATGCATGTAGTAAAAAACGGTATTTCAATATTACAAACAGACACTCCAATTTTAATTATATGTATATATTTTTATTGCCATAAAAAGGTAACAAACAGATGGAATTCTTGTCTCATTTGAAACATTGCGAAATATTTCGCCTGCAAAATTCATTGCTGAAGCTGTCACTGTACCAATGTCAACATAAGTAATATATGTGTTCGCACACAAAAACAAATGCCTAATAACATCTAATTTTATTTAATAGTTAAGTATGCATTACAAGGTCAGCTAAATTGTCCTGCGTTTTGTAATAAATACCATCTGAGATTCGCAACCAACCGGTGGACGGAGCGCTCGGATAGTGTAGGGCTCCACTCGGTCGTGTCCGGCTGTATGGGGACAGAGTCGCCGCGCTACACAGACACTTAAATAATTAACGAAGCGGCCGAGAATTAATTGAAATTAATTTGTATTTTATTATCTGTGGAAATTTTATTTTTTTACGACATATTTTTTTGGTCAAAGGAAATTGATACATACAGCTATAATAACAGTTCAAATAAAACTTTATAATATTAATTAGGTGTTTAATAATATATATTTTTTTTTTCTAATAATGTACAAATGGTCAGTGATACATACGTGGATTGTGATGGTGTGCCTCAGTGCAGGAGAGCATCCTAAGGAGAGCAGACCCGAGGAGGGATACCCGCGAGGACTCATGTCAGTTTGTATGTAGCTTAGAAATGTTTGTAGACATGTATGTACATTTATATATGTATATATATATACAAATAAGAACATTTAAGTGTCTGTTTTGTAATAGAAAATTAACAGCTTTTCAATACTACTACATTTGGAAATGAAAAAAATAGATCATATCATCTTGCTCATTTTTGAAACGACTAGACCGATTTTGACTGTAGTTTCAGCCGGAGACAGAGTATGTTATAGAAAGTAAATTATGACTTTTTTAAATAAATAAATAGTTTTTTTTTAAGATATATAAATTTAAGTAGGTACATAAAGATTTTGTTTTAATCATAGAGAACTACGTCGGCGAAATAAAACAACCATGAAGGTATTGTTCAGTATTCAATTTTTATACCGTCTTTGATTGTTCATACGAATTAGTTAAAGATGATTTTTTTTTTCTGAAAATAAAAATTTTCCGTTATGTTCAAAGAAATCGGAGTTGTGTAAAACATACGGACAAAATTTCATTAAGTTTATGTAGTTATTCCGAAAATTTTCAAAATACCCGTCCTGTTTTAAAAATTTCGTGTGGAGACGAGTTTTATTGTAACAGATTTTTATACAACGGTGCATAGTTTACGATGGCGGGGCACCAGTGATGAAATGAAGATGAGGTCAGGTCAGTTAGTGTACCGTGGCAAATTGACCAGAGTGACCAGGCACTTGTGACGATGGGTTCCAGGGGGACTGTGTGTACATTAATAACAATGTGTTAGTCCACATTACTAGGAGCCCCACATTCATATTGCCACCGTATGACTTAGATGACTAGCTGGTATATAAAAAAAAAAATTAGGGGTGGACTACCCCTAACATTTAGGGGGATGAAAAATAGATGTTGGCCGATTCTCAGACCTACTCAATACGCTCACAAAATTTCATGAAAATCGGTCAAGCCGTTTCGGAGGAGTATGGGAACGAAAACTGTGACACGAGAATTTTATATATAAGATAAAGGGATGGTGCACCCGCCTGCGCTACCGGTTTACGCTGTCGGGGCACCAGTGGAAGGTGATAAGATGAGCACGAGGTCAGGTCAGTTAGCACATCGTGACAAATTCACCAGGAATTTATCACGATGATTTCCAGGGGAACCGCGTGGAGGTCAACCTGACATGGTACATTGCTAGTAATAAGGTCATGACTCCACATCACTAACAATCCCCTGAACTCGTATGACTAGTGTTATGCACCTACCATTAAGTTTTTTTTTGTTATAGAGTATATTGATGTAGTAAAATAACGCCAAAAAAAATATATTCCCGTAACACTCCAGGCCCCGGGTCCAGTAAGACGGCGACCATCCCCCGCAGCCAGCTGAAGTACCTGCAGTTCGTGGTGCAGGGAGACGAGCGCTCGCGACACACATACACCTACTGGAGCGCAGCAGACATCGCCAACGACACCAGGGTACACCTCAACAGGTACACACCAACTGTATATTGGCTCGATAGCCACCTGTACTGCATACCTCGTGATACTTTTGTGTACATTTAGATTACAAGTACTCTTACAAAGCTTCTGGAATTAAATGGGATTTTTTTTTTCTATAAAATTCCGAGGTATATCTTAGTAAAATTAGAGGTTGAAAGGAAAGGGGGGAGGAGATGTTGATGTTCACCTATGACCACAGTGTATTCTATATTACCACAGGTAAGACAATATTACTTTGGGACTTGTGTTGCTTATAAAATGTCAACTCGCTGTTCTAGAAGAATCGTTATTTGCTCAACTGGAAAAAAAAATAGAATATAAGAATAATATAGTTGTATATTCTGTGCTATAAGGTGTCGTTTAGACGATTCAGACGATTGTCAGGGACCTGGAGCTAACAGTGGCAATCAAATTCACAACGTCATACAGCGCCACCTGTTGTTGAGTAGCTAGCAACGAAGCTTAATAAAACATGGAGTTGTAGTCTTGTACTTATAGTTTACACATTACAATTACAATAAACATTTACATAATTATTTTATGAATTATAATATACATAAATGATTGTCAATATACACGTTGTAATGGATCGGTGGACTGTATGTGTGTCTAAATGATGAAAACACGTATATAATATGATAGTAAAATTATTATGTTATCTGTGGAAAAATATATTTAAATATTGTTACGAACTGAAAGAACAATAGGAGAATAATACAATAAAGTGAAGTATATCAAATAACATGACATATGAAAAGAACTGCTCTAAAAATATAAATATAAAAATAATAACAGTATCAGAAGAGTTGGTAACATCATCATCGAAAGTTACGTCATTGTATGCACAATACAACGAATAAATAGATTAAAAAAAAAATGATTGAACATGTATTTGTTATCTGTTGAACGATTTATGCGTGTTACAGGCGGACGGTGGTGATACTGCTGGGCTACCTGGACAGCAGCCACTTCCCAATCTCAGCGATGTTGGCCAACGAGTACGAGGCGCTCGGCTACAACGTGATCATAGTCGACAACCAACGGTTCACCACCGTACATTACTATCTGTAAGTGACACTCAATATACATAATATTATACACAGACAATAAAATAATTAATTTCATGTTATTTACTTAATAATGCACCGCTCACTAATCTCTGTTTGCCGTATGGGCGACTGGCAGGAAATGCTTTATGGTGTTAAGTCCGCAGTATATGCACCTTTATTTTGTAATATACTATTTTAAATTTGATGAGGTCAATATTTATACATTATCATGGCGGTTGAAACACTGGCGAAATATCGGAAACTCAATAACTATGAAACGTGGTAAGATCCCGTGATCTTTACCAATTATAGGTATTTTTTTTTTGTATTTCAGCATTAAAGTATAATTTATATTATATATATATATGTATATAGAGTTAAGTTTACCCGTTATCATGGCGGTTGAAACACTGCCGAAATATCGGAAACTCAATAACTATGAAACGTGGTATCAACCTATGATCTTTACCAATTAATAAGTATTTTTTTTTATTTCAGCATTAAAGTATAATAATAAATAATATTAACTAAATCATAATTTAGAGACAATGTGAGTAAAGACGAACTTATAATTGGAAGAGATGTCTTCTAATCGACCATATGGTGGTATATTGTAGTAATGAGTGGGTAATAATTGAAGTGTACATTGATATATCATAGACACAATGTGTGTTAGACGCCCTTGAGGTGAATACATTGATAATAAATTATTTAACTCGTCCGAGAGATGTCGACCGTCTCGTCCCTACGACTCGTTCCGACCCCTACGAACGTTTGTTAAGTTTTGCACTCTAATGAATTTAAAATATAATATATATTTTGTGTTAAAAAAAAATTGAATCTTAATAAAAATAAAAATAGGCGGGGGAAAATGTTGAGGCACTTGATACGACACGACGAACTAATTAACAACATTATTAAAGGAAAAATAGATGGAAAGAGAGGAAGGGGAAGACAAAGACACAGCTATATCAAGTAAGTTAAAGAAAAAGTTGGAGTCGTGTCGTATCAACAGCTAAAAGGACTGATAGAAGATCGTGGAAGGTGGCGGGAGCTCCACCGACAACAGCACAGCTCTTAAATTATGAATGAATGAATAATAATAAAATGACTTAAAAACAAACAATTTTAATTTGTTTCAGGGCGTCGCGTCTGATGCGTCCGGTGGGCAAGCACGTCGCGGAGGTCCTAGTCAAGCTCACCGAGCGGGGCCTGCAGCCTGACAGACTAGAACTGCTCGGGTTCAGTCTCGGCGGACAGACCGTCAGCTACGTCGCCAAGAACTACCGCCATATGACCGGCAGGAACGTGTCCAAGATCACCGCCCTGGAGCCGTCGGGGCCGTGCTTCAGGCGGCTGGACGCCGACGACCGGCTGGCCGCCTCCGACGCCGACTTCGTGGAGGTGGTGCACACCAACGTGGACGGGTACGGCATGGCCGCCAGGATGGGACACGTCGACTTCTACGTCAACGGCGGCGAGTACCAGCCCTCGGACCTCAACATGTTTCCCTGCGTCGCCACTTGCAGCCACTTCCGCGTCCTGCCTATCTGGGTATCCGCCATGAAGAATCCTAAAGGTTTCATCGCAATCAAATGCGACAGCATCCAGCAGGCCAGAGACTGCGACTGCTACAACAACATTCATTTAGAACTGAACTTCTTGGGACCGAAAGTTAGAAGAAGTAATCAGGGGTTATTTTACGTCTCCACCAGTAAATCCTTCCCATTTTACTTGGGGCGGGACGGATTAAAAGCGGAATATGCTTCATGGAGAAGAATTACGGAAGTCAACGAAGGGAATGAGACGGAAGTGTATACCTGAGCAATATACAATGACCTATTGGTGTTCAAAGAAAATTAGGGCTTAAACGGTAAACATATAAAGTAGACGATATATAGAGATCACTATATAGAGTCAAATTAAGCGATGTGAACCTTCTTCATAGAATTGCTGGTAGTACTGTTATCTATTGAACTTTACAAATTAATCATTATTATAATAAATTAACAGTGAATTTATCTTTTATATAAACACCCTGCTCTACCCGCATGTCATCTATCGATATGTCCTATATCATCTTCCTACTCCACTGCTCTGTATATAAACAAATTAGGCGATGACCTAACAGTAGTTACTCATTCATCTCACATCCTTACCAAATTTATTGGCAATCAAACCTTGATATGTAACATTTGTATTAAAACACTAGCGTGCCTCGTGGAACCAGCTGTTATGAGGACAGCGACACAAGCGCACGAAGTAGGCACCTACGAAGTAGAGGTACGGTACACTTGTAAGGCGAGTTTACATCTGTGTATTGTTTATTTCTCTGTCCCATCGCTATCCATGCTTGCTAGATTGGAAACTGTTCATTCTGTTGTCCGTTTAATCCGGCTAATCTCTGAAATGGCTTGATCTATTCTGACGGGACTTTTATTACATTGCATTGCATGTAGCTGATTTAATAAGGAGTAACTTATGCTACTTTTATTTTAGAAAAAAAAAGTTATGTTGCAAAACTCCACGCAGAAGAAGTCGAAGCTAGTATAATCATGATGGTAGGAATAGTAAACCTCTAAAGATTTTCAGTTATCAAATAAATAAAATTCTCATGTGACAATGTCAGTTGCCATACTTCTTAGAAACGGTTTAACCGATTTTTATGAATTTTTATATGTATACCCGGTAGGTCTGAGAATGGGTTGTTACATATTTTTTATTCACGACTTAATAGAATAGAATAGAATAGAAAATCATTTATTCAAATAAACTTAATTTAAGCATTTTTGAACAGTCAACATTTTTTTTAAATCTATCGCTTATTCGGAAAGCTGTCTCATCACAAGAAGAATAAGCAAGAAACTTGTGTGTTGCTCTTTTAAACAATCCTTATAAGTTCACATTTTACAAGTCGAAACGTGTGAATACAAACTACCAACCAGCAATAATTTATTTAGGCTCAAATATAAAAACACAATAAGATTAAATCAGTCGTAGTGATAAGAGCAGACCAGTCCCACTATGACGTAGGCACCCCCTAAGAAAGGATTTTGACAAATTCCACCCCGAAGGTGATAAAGTAACGCGAGCGAAGCCGCAGGCAAAAGATAGTATAGCTTATACATCAGAATAACAAATTGGCTACAATATTCAGTCACGTGAAACCGGGGACACAGCTAGTATGTATATAATTGCCATCTTTGATAAATGAATCATAGGAAAATATAGTTGTATTTTAGTATATTAAACAAAAGCTTTTTATTTTAAAAGCGCCGTGATTTAGTGGTTTACATTACCGACTTCGATCCCAAAGGTCGAGAGTTCAAATCTGGGCAACGAAAAAGAAACTTGCGTGAATTTTATGTTACTGATTAACTCTCCGATGATGGAAACACAGATACCAAACCAAATTGAGATTTGTATGGGCAGTGAATTTAAAAATCCCATGCAATGTAAAAATAACTATATTCATTATATTAAGCATACATAAATATTAAACATCTCCATAATCATAATATTTACATTATCATGGTAAATATATTATCTATACATCTATACATATAAATACAATTGGAGTGTCTGTTTGTAATATTGTAATAACCGTTTTTTACTGCATATGAATATAAATACGCTATTTGTTCCGGCTAATATCTGAAATGGCTGGGCCGATTTCGACGGGATATTTTTGGCAGGTAGTTAATGTAATAAGTAGTAACTTAGGCTACTTTTATTTTAGAAATATTGTTTTATTTTAGAAAAATAAAGTATAACACCACGCGGACGAAGTCGCAGGTACAGCTAGTTTATATATAAAATTCTCGTGTCACAGTTTTCGTTCCCATACTCCTCCGACACGGCTTGACCGATTCTCATGAAATTTTGTGAGCGTATTGAGTAGGTCTGAGAATCGGCCAACATCTATTTTTCATCCCCATATGTGTTAGAGGTAGTCCACCCCTAAATTTTTTTTTTATTTTAAGGCAAAACATTGTTTGTTGGGCAGCTAGTATATATATATATATATAATAATAATCATCCACAGGAGCTATTGCGAAAAAAACATAAAACAATAGACGATCTGAAATTAATTAAACTAATATACTTCTAAATATATATAACTCAAAGGTGACTGACATAGTGATCTCTCAACGCACAGCCCAAACCACTGGACGGATCGGGCTGAAATTTAGCAGGCAGGTAGATGTTGCGACGTAGGCTTCTGTCCCGGCTTCACATGGATGCATTACAAATGTTTAAAGTTCTCTGCTTGTTCTATACTATTACACTCATTATACAATTGCTTAAATTAACAAAAGCACAATTGCATTTTATCAATGCAGGAAAATGCTGGGAAATAAGTGGGGTATCTCCTCGAAAATAACTCTTAGGCTATACACATCAGTAATAATACCAATGCTGGTATATGGGGCCTTGGTTTGGTGGACAAGGTCGAAACTCTCGACCACAGTCAACAAACTAAGATCTTTTCAAAGACTTGCGTGCTCCTCAGTTACTGGATATATGAAAACAACCTCAACAATGGCAATGGAAACAGCCCTTAACATAACACCCCTTGACCTATACATACAGCAGAAAGCAGCTATAGCTGCCACAAGATTATGCGACCTGGTCTATGGGGCAAAAACCATAATGCATACAACATATAATGATAGGGACAATAACGGGCCATTGTTCCTTAAACAAACATACAAAATTGATGCTACAGACAGTCCCCTTTGTCGGGGCTGTTTTGAAGCTGAAGAAACGGCGGCTCACGTAATCCTGGAGTGCTTGCAGTGGCCCCACAACGTAAACAAATCCTCGGAACGGTGAGGTCGCTCCGTGAAGCCTGTGAAGACAAGGAATCTTCTGCGCTTTTGGGAGGAGCAGTTAGTAGCAGTAGCAGCAGTTAGTAGTCTGGTTCTGCACGCACAACGTCCCGAATGAGAGGCTAATTGCGGAGACTGGAGTCCAACATACAATACATTATACAATTTAGGTTTTAGATATTTATTCTCATTAAGAATTACAAATAATTCACTTAACATGAGAACTAAAAGCATAAACTTATACAAAATTAAATATTAGTGGAAATACAAAAGAAGGTGTACATATATAATGCGGACGGTGCAGTAACAAAGTCTAAGTAGTAACTACCCGCATAAATGATAACATTTATTGGTTGCTTACCGCGCATAGATGGCCTCAGCGGTACTGGGTTCACATGTACACAGATGTATCAGATCATCATGTACTAGATGTGGCATATTAGAGAGTTTATTATTTTTTTTTTTTATGTTTTTTATTATTATTTTTTTTTTATTTTTTTTTTAATATTAATTTTTATTTATATTTTATTTATCTATTAATTATTTATGATATTTACAAATAAAAATAAATAAATTATAAGAAAAACTATATATATCTATAGCGACATATTTTTTGAGATTACTAATAGTGGTTTATTATATAGTGTTTCAATAGTTTTTTAAATGTAGTTATTGATTGCGATTCTTTAATGTCTTTGGGGAGTTAATTATAAATTTGTGCGCCTTCACATACAATGGTTTTTCTGCCATAGTTAGTTCTCGGTGGCCTTAATATTAAATTATTTGCGTTTCTCAGTTGCTGTTGGAAACTATTTTATATACCTTTTTATTGTCTATATTTTTTATAATATTATATTGTTTTTATATGACATAAGTCAATTTAATACAAAAAATATTCTACAACTATAACGGTGCCGTTTTTACTTTTTGCTCGTCATCTTGATCTCCATCCTTCACATTTGGTCCTTCGTTGCCGTTTTAGTATTTGCTATAACCATGCAAACGAGATCCAAGACGCAGCAATGTACTCGAGCAAAGGATACTAGCGATGTATATTCAGGGTCGGATATGCCTGTCGCAGATGGGCTCAGTCGGTCACCTGTAATTGACCACATCGTAGACGAAGCCACGTTGGCATCTGCGTCTGGCCACCCTGAACCTGTTACATCTAGTCAGAGTCCCACATTAAGCACTGAACGTAAGAAAATTGGCTCCAGTTCTAAATTGCGTTTGTCGGGGTCGCTACAGTCATCGTCCACAGTTAGGGCACGTAGGTTGGCTGCAGAGGCACAGTTAGCTCGACAATGCATGGAACGGGAACGTGAGCAGTTCGAGCGTGAGCAAGATTTCGCCATGCAGCTCGCTCACCGAAGATTTGAGTACCAACGTAAGCTCATTCATCAAGCAAGACAGGTAGAAGAGCTTGAGATGAAAGCAAGCCTAGCGACACTGAAACCAGAACGGCGCTTTAGTCGCTTGGTTAGTCCACCCCAATCTCGGACTGCGTCCTGTATAAATGACGCACTAAATAAATGTAGTTATCCGACTGTTGACAATAGTGAGCCTTTAACACCAATCCTCACACAAAAATATAGTGGTCATGATTTACCAATAGATTCAATTGCGAAACCGGTGTATGTAGAATCCAACTACGAAGCTAACCCACGAACATGTCATCGCACAATGGAACATATTGACCGTGATTTTCACACTATAAAACCATCTGAAAGAGCATCGCATCATAGCCATATTGTGTTACATGCTAAAAATCATGAAAGTTCACAACATTTTGATAACAAACCGTTTTTGACAAATCAAATTCCATCAAAACCGATTTATGACAGTTTACTTCGTTCAACGTCAAACAATGTTCGATTGTCTAGGCAACCTGCATCGACTGAAAATAATGAGTTGCCTAAGAACTCTGAAATTAAAATTGACATTTCTAAGACAGTGTCACAGAGAAAGTCACATAAGTATATAAAGTCACATATTAGTTTATCCACGTGCATGAAGACCCACGCAGCTTCTCTGAACATTGTAAATTCTTCAGCTGATTTGACAATTAACAGTTTACGACGCTTTGTAGTCCGCAGAAGCACACCAAAATTTGTGAGAC